GATACTATTATTTTGCTTGCGGTATTATAGGAGAATTTACGGTAACTAGCGGTATTTACCGGTAACTCGTGGTAGACTGCGTAAAGCGCACCAGAAAATAATGCGGCATTTTGAATGGCTGCATCTGTATGTTCCTTTATCTTTGGAAAATGTTTTCAAGTGTTCCTGTGAGTTCAGCTGTCATGCACAATAGGACATGTAATTTAGAAAAGGTCTTTTTTATTCCTAAACTATGTACAGTAGCTTTAACATAGCCAATGACAAAATAAGTTTATTAATATTCTTTGTATTCTTCTCATATGTAAGAATATATGTGTGGTGAGACCAGAAGTGCTGGCCTGTGTAATTCCTTATTTGAAACACCTGTGTGCAATTCCCCAGTAGTAGGATTCATGGAACCCTAGTTGTAGAGATTCTCAGTGGTGGCTAGCGTAAAAGAAATCCAGAAATGAGTAAGAGAGCAAGCTACAGTATGGTTTTCTTGAAATTGTATAGTTGCAGTATGCTAATCCCAGCATAATTGTGGTCTTACGTTGTTCTGGTGGAAGATCACTTACAACACTTAGAGACTGGTATGTAGGAATAGGATATCTGTTGAATCAAGGGCTTTTTCTGTGTCTTTCTTAGTAGTAAGATTGTCAGTAAGCACCAAAAGCACTTCTTTGTTTAAAGAGTTTCCTCTTTGCATAATCACACTTTTTCTTTTTTCTTTTATTGATTTGAACAGTACCACAGGTATTGAGACAAACCGGTCTTCATTTGTGAAAAACACACTTATGCACCCTCTCTGCCACTACCTATGATGTACTATGCCCTACAGGAGATGGCAGTTTCGTTTCTCAGCTGTCAGCTGTCAGACGGCGCCTGTTTACAGTATAGTGTCCCCGCCACTATACTGGGGCATTAGGACCCACATGGACCACAGGGTGAGCACCCCCTGCTGGCCCCACTAACACCTCTTCCAGCAGCAACCTTACTTTTTCCCAGGAGGTCTCCTATCTAGGCTCACACCTGCTTAGTTTCAGTGGGTTGCCAGTTGTGAGTTGCAGAGTGATATGCCTGCTTATGATATTTACTGTATAAGGTTTTACAATAAGATACCAACAGCAAGCAGGAAATCCTCACTGTGATAACATGTCCTGCATTAATTCAAATAATTTTGTCTCATTTTGGTAATATCTCGACTCAAGTAACAAACACTTCTTGAGCTTGAGCTCAATATTTAATTATTGGTTAGCATTGCCTCCTCGAAGTGGTGGATTCAGTTCTGGACCTGGAATGCTACCTGCATGGAGTTTGTATGTGCTTTCATGTGTATTTTCATTGGGTGTTCTGGCTTTCTCCCACAATCTAAAGACATACTGATTATTGACTTCCGGGAAAGTTGATCCTGGTGCATAAGGTGTATCATTCCTTTCACCCATTGCTTGTATAGCTCCCCTGCAACCTTGATTTGGGTTAGAAAATGTTAGAAAATGTGCGTGGTTAGAAAATGGATGGGTGTACAATGCAAATCAATTACTCAGCTAGTCAAGATACTATAAAGACAACTGTAAAGACAAGTGAATTATCCTAATTCACTAAAACAGGCAGTGTGGTGGCTCTGTGGCTAAGGATCTGTGCCAGTAGCTGGAAGGTTGCTTGTTCTGATGTCGTAGCCGTCAGAGGAATCGTATGCTGTTGGGCCCCTGAGCAAGGCCCTTAACCCGAACTGCTCCAGGGGTGCCGTATACTGTAAATGGCTGACCCTGCGCTCTGACCCCAAGTTTCTCCCCCTGTCTGTGTGTCTCATGGCGAGCAAGTTGGGATATGCAAAAAGACAAATTCCTAATACAAGAAATTGTTTATAGCATGTTATATCTTATCTAATTGTCTAACTAGATGTTTGCCTTATTCCACCAGCATAGTTCCTGGCATTATGAACTCTCTGTTTGTCTGGTAGTTCTGGGAAGTCATCAGTGATGAACATGGCATTGACCCAACTGGAACTTACCATGGAGACAGTGACCTGCAGCTTGAGAGGATCAGCGTCTACTACAATGAGGCCACAGGTAACAGACAGGTTTCCTATGCTCTTTGTTTCTTCGTTTTGCATGTGTTGCTACTTCCATGACTTCATTCAGTCTCACCCATTTGTTACTTCTAATGTAGGATCATGCAAATAAAATTACATGAATTTACATTTCATTTTAAATTTTAAATTACTCTTATTATAGCATTAGTTTGGTCCCTAATATTGAAAAATACCTATTCATACTACAGTATAGTCCTTTAATTAAAACATTTTGTTTTTAAATTACTTTTGTTTTATTTAAACATAGAAACATTTTGAATTTAGGGCTCACTAAAGTCTTGTTCCTTATAATTACAGACCAAAAGGCAAATGATAAAACAGAAAAAATCACTGAACAAACTATATTTTTGCCATCAATCAGAAAGAGAAGAAATCTGTGTCAGCGGCATATATTGATTTACTGATGGATAAAGACCGTTTGTCAAGCACAGCCCTCAGATGGCAAGAAATGGGCACTATGGTGGTTTATAGATAACAATGGAGAATGAACAAAGGCCAATTTGAACATGTGCAGAGAAAAGACTAAGATATATTCTCTAATGGTGTCTAAGTCAGCAAAGCATGACTGTGGGAGGATGTTGTCTAGGATACGGGTTTTAAACTCATTTGCTGTGCTGGGATAGAGTTGATCTGGAACTACTTTAAGATGACTATTAACATGATAAATGATAAAAATACAAGGCTCAGCCTACATCCTGTATAAATATTGTTTCTTTGTAGTATTGCTGTTGCTTTTTACAATAATGTGTCTTTATATTGCAGCTAACTTTAATTTTAACTTGACTAGATGTTAGCTTTACTGTCCCTTAGAATATGATTAATACCCTTTGAATACAATATGTTTTTTATCATTTTTACTCATAGTTATTTAAAATATTGTAGTTGTGATTATTTAACACTATTGAATTCACTGTTCTTTTGAAAATAATAGCATTCTTCAATTGGTGAAAATATAGTAATCAATATAATTCATAGCACAGGCAGGAGCCTGTGAAAGTTTTGATTATTATTATAATTAGACAGATTAAATCAGGCTAAAACACAATTACAACATCACAAATGTTTAAATATTAAAACTGACAAGTACTGTAAACAAAACCTGGTTTTCTGAGTTTATGTAGCATATAAACTCAGATAACCTATTATTATATTATATTATTAATGTAAGATGTGTTGTATTCCTAAATTGATCATATATCCATGAAAACTAAGCAAATATATTTTCAGCAGTTTAAATTATTTTAAAGAACACAATTTGTTCCTACTAAGGCTATCATTCAGAACACACTGAATTGATATGGGTTAGTATATTATATTTTTATCCAAGGAGAGAAACTTTGTACATGACTTTGTACATGACCCTGGTTTAGGCAGTCCCAGCTAAGATGGAATGTTAAATTCAGCTTGTAGAAACAATCAGACAAACTTTAAATTTAGGTCTTTATCATTCCACTGGTTTTGATAGGTCATTTAATTTCATCTTCATGTTTTATTGTGTCTTCACCCATATTACAAAGTGGGCTGAATGATTATTGGCATCCTCGATAAAGATGAGCAAAAAAGAAAAGAAAAATATAGGCTTTTATTTTAATACAGTTATTTCAAAAGAAATGTCTTTTTGATGAGTAACACTATTTTTTCTGAAAAACATAGACATTAGAAGTATTGGATCCCCTGTTTCTAGTACTTGGTGTAACTGTCTCTGGCACAGATAACAGCACATAGCCATTTAATGTAAAGGTTAATACGGTTGGAGAACACATTGAGAGGAATCTTGGACCATTCCTTTATACAGAAATATTCCAGGTCCTTGGTATCCTTATGGACTGCCCTCTTTAGTTGAGATCACAGGTTTTCAATCAGGTTTAAGTCTGGAGACATTTGTCTGGGTACTTTATAGATATAATTATAATGTTATACAAATATACCTATTGCTAGAGTGTTTTACAGAACCTGTAGGCTATACAGGAGGCTGTCACATTTCTCTTCTACACCGATACAGAAAAGGCATCTCCTGATTGTTTTTCTGGATTTCAGGAGGGAAATATGTCCCAAGAGCAATCCTTGTGGACCTGGAACCGGGTACCATGGACTCCGTGAGGTCTGGACCTTTTGGTCAGATTTTTAGGCCCGATAACTTTGTGTTCGGTGAGTAATATTTTTATCACACTTTGACATGTATTAAGAAAATAATAGAAAATTATGTCATTAGTTAGAATTTGATTTATTACTGAATTTAAATATACTTGAATTTAATGTCTGTCTGCAGCCTAAAAAGGTGACTTTAACTGGTCTGGAAAATCCCTGTTTTTGGCCGCATGAGTCAGGAGACCTTCATACATAGACATCTGCAAACACAGCTATTTTTTAAATTTCAGGTGGTTTCCTAGTTTTATTTTTTGAAAGGCTTTAACAAAATAAACCAAAATACTACATGGTAATGTAAAATAAGTAAGCATAATTAATTGTTTCTGATCAACTTCCCCCAGTCTTTTGATTACCTTATGATGTCTTACTGCTCCTTACAAACTGAAACTGCTCCAAAAGGTTTGTTCCCAACACTATTAAATAAATTAAGAAAATACATGATTTACTCTATGTGAAAATGAATTAATATTTCCAGTTCGTACAATCATTGACTACTAAACAATCACTTAATCTATTTCAGGAACATTTCTGAAGCTGTATTTTTGGCATCTTCTTGTGGCAGGCCAAGCTTATCACAATCCTTTCATGGGACCATCTGCCACACTGGATAAAGTGTGAAAAATGATAATTTTACACTAGCTCTCTTCTACCATAGCACAATTCTTTTCTAGCTCCCCTCCCTCCACTACAAGCTGCACCCTTGTAGCTGCCTCCCTGGTTCATTTCTTGTTAAATAAGGGAGGTTGTGACAATGTTGATCTTTGGCCTGGCTGTTATTTCTCATTCCAAGCAAATTAATGCCACAAACTAAAGCATTAAGTATGCTATCCCTTTATATATGTTGGCTCATTTTGCTGTAGTTAGAAATTGACCAGTAAGTCAAAGATATGACTAAAAGATTCATCATCTTTTTATTTAGCCTATGAAATCAATAACCAACCAAAACCATGCTTTGTTCATATTGTGAAGTTAGTGTGGATTGCATAATTCAGGGCAGGAATTCCTAGACAGTTTTTCATTAAAAGAAATACTTTAACATTATGCTTTAAATGGGTGAATTTCTATGCATGTCCCTTTCAGGGCAAAGTGGTGCTGGAAACAACTGGGCAAAGGGACACTACACAGAGGGGGCCGAACTGGTTGACTCTGTTCTCGATGTAGTTCGGAAGGAGGCGGAGAGCTGTGACTGCCTGCAGGGGTTTCAGCTTACCCACTCTCTGGGTGGAGGCACTGGGTCTGGCATGGGCACATTGTTGATCAGCAAAATCCGGGAGGAGTATCCTGACAGGATCATGAACACCTTCAGCGTCGTGCCCTCACCTAAAGTCTCTGACACCGTTGTGGAGCCTTACAACGCTACCCTCTCGGTGCACCAGCTGGTGGAAAACACAGATGAGACCTACTGCATCGACAATGAGGCTTTGTATGACATCTGCTTCCGTACGCTCAAGCTTACCACCCCAACCTATGGCGACTTGAACCATCTGGTTTCTGCCACCATGAGCGGGGTCACCACGTGCCTTCGATTCCCTGGCCAGCTCAATGCTGATCTACGCAAACTGGCTGTCAACATGGTGCCCTTCCCTCGTCTGCACTTCTTTATGCCCGGGTTTGCCCCCCTCACCAGCAGGGGGAGCCAGCAATACCGTGCCCTGACAGTTCCTGAGCTCACGCAACAGATGTTCGATGCCAAGAACATGATGGCGGCCTGCGACCCCCGCCATGGCCGTTACCTGACTGTAGCTGCTGTCTTCCGTGGAAGGATGTCCATGAAGGAAGTGGACGAACAAATGCTCAACGTACAGAACAAGAACAGCAGCTATTTTGTGGAGTGGATTCCCAATAATGTGAAGACAGCTGTCTGTGACATTCCACCCAGAGGGCTTAAGATGGCTGCCACTTTCATCGGAAACAGCACGGCCATTCAGGAGCTGTTCAAGCGCATCTCTGAGCAGTTCACCGCTATGTTCAGGCGCAAGGCTTTCCTACACTGGTACACCGGTGAAGGCATGGATGAGATGGAGTTCACTGAGGCTGAAAGTAACATGAATGACCTTGTGTCTGAGTACCAACAGTATCAAGATGCCACTGCCGAGGAAGGCGAATTTGAGGAAGAGGCAGAAGAAGAGGTTGCATAAAATCACATTGTCAGCCAGTGCGGTCTCTTTCTCTTTGTCTTTCTGTAAGCCTTGTGTTTTGTTCTTGAAAATAGGTTGTTTTCCATGATAAGAAGTCTGGATGTTTTTCAAGTTCTCCCTTCCTTTCTTCAAGACACATCTACACTCGAATCTTTCACCTACCTTCCCCTGCTATAGTAGTCAAGATGGTGTAACATAATACTGTGATGTTTTGTTTTGTGGAAAATGAATGCACTCAAAATTGTCTTTGTCTCTTCATGCCTTGCAGAAATGAAAAGGAAATGCAGTAGTGGTTAATCTTTCTTGCACTTGATTAAACAAGATGTCAGTATTGCTTCAGCAGAATAAAGAGGTGAAACCGATTTTTTTGCAGTCCTCCTTGTGATTTTATTCTTTACTCCAGTCCCTTTGATTGCTTGGCTGAAATCACCCTCTAGATGGCAGCACTAAATCAGAAAAAGGAACAGAAAAATGCTAGATAAGGAATATGAGTTCACATGTACCTGAATCTCTTGAACCTGAACCACATTAGTTTAATTCATTTTCAATTATATTTTAATCAATATACAATATTTGCTTGATTATTGTAAATTTCCATTCAAATACCAATCAGGAGATTGGTTTTCTTTCTCTATCAAAATTTGAAATCACAGAGATGTCATTCAATCCACATCATTCTTTAAAATCCTTTTACCAGCAGAAAACAGATGAAGACATCTTCCTCTGAAATTAATCAGAGTGCCTCTTCACATGGCACAAACAGCAAAACTACACGTCTGAAAGGAGGACAGAAATAGTACTAACTCCCATATAACAATGCAGGTTCTCAGGTAATTGACTAGCCATAAGGGTTGGTTTTACACAATAGGCTTTAACAATGAAGTTTAAGCTCATCAAGCACATCCTGGCAGCGGGTCCCTTGCTCATTACTATTAAAAGTGGAGGAGTGTTCAGTCATCCTTAACTTTTCCAGTCAGACTGCCATTCTCTCAGCTTGTGCCAAATAACCTCTAATTCATTTGACCATTGATTTCATTAGGATCTAATGGCACTACTGTCTATATATATTTTCTAATAAGAATGGGTGGCATAGTGCTGTATATTGAGAGAAGGGGAGCCCAGGGAGGAGAAGAAGGAATGATGAGGAGGTCTAGGAAAAGATTTAGCGGAAGGCATAGTGGGTCGCAGCAGAAATAGTTTGAAGAAGTTCAAGTTCGCAAACTGTCACAGCTACTTAATTGAGTTTAGTGTTATACTGTATATTGACCTATGCTTTTTACCTGAAATTATTCAAATTACTTACATAATTTCAAAATTGGAATCAAATCAAATTGGACCTAATATCACCTTAGCTATACTATGTAACGGAGCTGTTAATAAAGCAATACATGAAATGGGTTAAGCATTTTTATTATAGTTAAATGTTTTTACACAATTAAATTATTAGGAATTTGAAGACTTAAAATGCTCAGTTTATGTGCTGACAAAACCAATGTAAGGAGCTTAGAGCAAAGGACAGTATTAGGAAACATCATATTGTTCCTCAACATTGCATGAAAGGATCTTTAAGGAATAGATCATGAAAATATTAAAAACTGGATATTAAAAAAATCAGTGGCAGGCATGCATTTATTTTTTAAAATGCTACCAATACAATTGGTAAAATACTCCTATTGTATGCAGCAGTTTCAGATAACAGCCTTTCCAATCTTAAATGCAATGTATAAAATCAAAGCTGTATGAATCCAGTGTTTTGGATCCATTTCCAGAAATATTTCCTCAGCATAGGGAACAGCAAGTTATATTAAATTTCGTATCACCCAAGATATAAAACCTGAGAGCCATTGGACTTTCTATCATAGAAAAATAACACAGATCAGAGAACAGAGTGCATTATAATTTGGCCGTTTGTGCAAGGCTTGAAGTAATAGCCAATAACCCTAATGCAAATAAGATCACTGTCACTGGGAGGGGAGGAGGGTCACCCAAGTGAGTCCTTTTAAAACAGAATGAAAGCTCAGCCACATTCCTGGGTGGGAAGAAGGAGGAGAGAATATTAGCAGTTTTGTAAATTGTTATGTTCTAATTAATGATCAGAAAGCAAATGCTTTACTGGGTTTAGTCTCACTATACTTTAGCTGCAGTGGGGAGCTGATAGGACCTAAGCGTGGTAGGACTCCTGGTCTCTATTTCTTAGAGAAAAGGTTTTTTTTTGTGTGTGTACTAAGTTCCATTTTGTTTTGTTTTTTGCTATATATTATTGTTTGTGGGGAGCACTGTCCTAATAAAAGTGCAATTGCGGCTGAGCCATCATTCTGTTTCAAAAGGACTCACTTGGGCACCCCTCCTGCCCTCCTGGTGACAAAGTAAAATTAGAAATGGACACAAGAATGGTTACGAATAAGAAGAAGCTATTCAAGATAGGCAGTCTTGTTCAGGACAAAAAGGACTGCTGGCTAATGTGGGATATTGCTTTAAGTGCAAAAAATGGATCTTGTTGCTTTTCTCTGGACCAATTCCAGAGCACAAATATCTTTTTATAACGCAATGCCCAGAACTGAATTTAAGTTGACGATTATGATGGCACACATACCACTGGAAGTAACTTTTGTTTTCACATATTAAGTGATCTAGTGTGGTCTTTTGGACCTGACTCTCTCCAGCATGTAACACATGTTAGTTGAATCTGCTGTAGACATCAGTGCTTCCATTGTCATTCAGTTTCTCATCTTCTTCAAAATCTTAATTTCATGCACTAAAGAAATCAATTCCATGGTCACCCAGCCACTAGCTCCCCAGATCACAAACTATTTCAGCTGATCTTAGGCAGGTGTACCTTTGTATCAAAAATAACAAATGTTAATAGTGAAACATTCTCTCATCACACACTCCAGGACTGCCCATTTATCTGCTGATATTGAAGAGATGGATTGAATCCTGAATATTACCCATGTCTTCTAGACTCCTCTCACCTATGAAAGAAGTACACTGATACACTGACAAGCAATGTCCAGCTACATCAGGTCCTAGTGCCTCCCATCAGCATTAGGTTCAGCTGGTCCTCCTTGTTGCTCCACAAAACTCTTACGACACGCGAACAATCTTCCTAACAGCCACCTGCTAAGCACTGATGACAGCTCCTAGTACTGACCTAAGCTATATTTGGTACAGTACATTCACTCACTCCTAAGAGCCTTGAGTTTAGACACAGTCTCAAATAATTTTTCTCCTTGCTGTTTTTATAAGCCTCTTAATTTACCCATAGCAAATACTGTAAGCTCTTCTCCTTCCTGTGGAATTTCACTGAATTTCACTGAGCTAACTGCTCAATCAGATCTAGTCTGTCTCATTCCATGTTTTTTTTTCCCCCATTCACAGGTGCTTCATTCACAAAACCACCTCACAATGCACCAACATAGACATCTGATTCTTCTTCATAGATGGCTTATTGAGTTTCAGTGTTTCCCATGCACTTAACTGTATCCATCAATATTAATTGCCATCTGCCTGGATATTTGTCCCATCTTGAAATAAGTCCAAGTTTTTTTTATTTGCTTTGCAGCTCCTACAGTATTTGGGATTTTTCTGTGGTATCATCTGTAATTTTGATTAGTGCTGCTAACCTAAATCGTTAGAAAGGACAGGTGTCTTACTGCAGATCCCTGCTTTACTTTAGTAATCACATTTCCCAGTTTTAAAATCAATCACTGGGTGTCTTCTCTTCTCTTTCAACTAACCAGAGCTGCAAGAGAACTTTATTTCTTGGTCTCACATATTTTATTGCTAGCATAACCTTATGCACATACATGTATGTATCTATGATTAGAAAGTACTAACCTCCAGTCTGGGTCCTAAAAAGAGGCAATCAATAATTTTTATATGGTCTTCAAACAATGATTAGAGCACAGGAGTCTTGACTAATTAAGTCAGAACTGGATATGATTAAATAAAGCTAAGAAGACACCTTTGCTGTCCTTGATCAGATTTGGAGGAGACTATAAAAGAGGCACTACTTGTATAAGCAAATGCAATATTTCATTTTATGATTAAATGAGTTCTTCTTTACATTAGGCATATGCGTCAGAATAAAAAAAAAACATATAATTTGTATTACATTAGCATAGAGTATGGTCAGTTGTTGTGTCATCTGTCCTAGGCAGAGTAAAGAACTCACTGTTGGATCCCTACTATCTACTGTTTGGACTTGGTTAGGACTAGATAGAGGTAATAAATATCTTAATATGTAAAACTTTAGAATTATACAGGGGTGTATTTTCTTTTTTACAACACTGTATACAATTTCAGATTTCCTACAACATCTAATAATAAATTACTAATTAATTAGTTATTTTGTTTAAAGAATTCAAGTGACAAGGGTCCAGATGTCTTAGCCTTAGATTTCTTCTAGAATCAATTAAGGTTTGGCAATTCTTTCAAAATCTTACAGTGTTCTGTGAGCACTGTACTTTAAGTAACTTTACCATTCTTCCTTTAACAGCTTTAAGTTTGGAGTTCCAGCTGCGTGAGAACTAGAAGTAATATTAAGTACACTTTCATATGGGCTAATGATCTGATCATTTGAAAACGTTTTGAAGGAGTAAAGGTGTTAGAGCACTGGGTTATTTATCAGTATTAACTATTTATTACTGTATTAGTGATTATATAGTTTTAGCATGTATGTTACAAAAGAATTATATATACGGTATATAAGCTCTACTGCTGAATCTGGCCGGATATATTTCCTATGGTTAGAAGAATAACGTCATGCCGCATTCAGGAAGTATGCACAGCCTCGGTATTATAATTGAGTTCTGTTGCCTGGGTGCTAGTTCCTGAATTATTTCATTTAAAAATTATAAAGACATTTTTTTTAAAAACTGACATGTGAAGTTACCAAACAATTATGGGATCCAGGATCAAGTAAGTCTTAATTTTTCTTAAAGGTGTCTTAACGAGTGTTTGTGGTGTTCCATAACAAATCATCTTGACTTTTTTTTTTACTGTGGTTTTTAAGCTTACTTCCCCCATCAGAGATCTGTAATGCTGTCATGTAAGAGTGAAATAAGTGGAAAAAAAAGAACTGAAAGGCTTACATCTCTTTTCAAATCTGGAATTCAGCATTTTTAAGAGTGTACAGTACATGCAGTACTTATTTTGTGAGAATTTAACAATGAGACAAATATGTGTGAGTGCATTGTAAAAAGAAAGAAAAATACAGGTTACTCATAACCTACAATGTTTCTTTGCAAGTAATATTTAACAAATACACTTGTTTCAAAGCAAGCATTAATTTATTAAACTCTTTTAATTAACCCTATTAGAATCTGTTCCTAATCAGTACAGTTTCTGGCTATGATTAAAACTAGATTTGTTTTGTACTGTATATTAACTTTTTAATATAATAACATTTCTTATTTTTTCTTAAAATTGTGAGACATTTAACACTTAAGTATTTTGAATGCAGTCTAACATGCAATTATTTTTAATGCTAGCAAATAATCATCAATCCATTGAAAGCATCATGCAGCAATTAAAGATTTTTTGAATGATATAAGATAAATGCGACTTAGTCATTTAGGCCTATAGTACTTATTTAACTGTGAATTCCTAATTGGTTGGATTATTTGTAGCTAAAACGTAATACTTATGATGTAAGAAAAAAAATCTTATGGCTTGAAAGTATAGGCAATTCACATTTTATATCAATACCATATTTCATTTGACATATTTGAAGGGTCTGCTAAATTAAATTAGGTTGATCAACTAACTGCAAATATTTTAATATCAAATGAGAGGCAATGTTTAGAAAAAAGGTTAAACAGGTAAAAAAAGGTTTTTCTTATCATCACTTTTGCCAGTGAAGGAACAATGAAAGGCATACAAGAGGACATAAGTGGAAACTACATGGAAGTACAAGTACAACCAATAAAGTTTTTAAATAAATGACAGGTGGTTATTTACCCAAAGAGTTGTGGGAGTGTGGAACAAGCTACCCCACCATTTATTTGAAGCCAATACTCTGGCATCCTTCAAGAAACAGCTCGATAAGATACTTGGATTAATTACAGTAACTACTAACTACCAAACAAGCTAGACAGGCCAAATGACCTCTCCTTATTTGTAACCCTTCTTATGATCTAACCATTAGCATTATTTTATCATCAGATTAATCAGCTCATTGCCAGGTGTACCTTATCATTAATTTGTTCCACTCTTTACATGCACAAAAGTAAAGGGATATTATGTAATGTAGCATACAGATTTATGTGGTTTAACCTGCAGTTAGTTAAATTTCAATGGAAGATTATCAATTGAGTTTCTGAAAAACACTGAATGAAAAGAATAGAATATTCCAAAATATTAAGCTTAAGCGCAAATAGAAAGTCTACACACCCAAAGGTGGAGGGTATTTAGCTTGTTGTGTGATTTGAAAGGCAGTTACACCAGAGCTAATTTACAATTAACTTACATGCTCATACTAAGGAGAATGTACCCATTCAACCCATTTTAATAGTTTTTCATCTTTAATGACAGTACATTTCAGAACATTGAGCATTTGAGGATACTGTAAGTGTCCTCTCATCCTCAAAAGCATATAGATTAGTTAATCAAAGATTAATTTTAGAACCTCCAGAAACACCTCTTGAAGACATCTTACCCCATGACTGAGACAGGATGTTTTCACTGATGAAATGCGTACTGGAAATGTATTATTGGTTCATTGTTTTCTGATTTTTTGCAATGTGTATACTATACAAAAGCTTGCTGTAAAACCCCTTGTCTCTCAAAATCTTTTATCTTTAATGCAATTTAAATTGATCATTTTTAATATTCAAAATAAATATTCATACTTTGTTGTAGTTAACAATGGCTGAGATATGTCCAAATCTCATAGTGGTAGCATCTTCTTGACCGTCTAAAATGCCTTTATAAATCACTGCATCTTTTGATGGAAAACGATATTGATACAGTACATGTTACAGAACCATTCCAAATGCTGTTAATGCTTTTCACACTCATTAGTACTTTAGTTTGTTTCCAATTAAAATATTTCTTATGAAATATCAGTATTTTACACATAATTCCTAAATCCAATTATTTACCAAGTTAAAAGTTGTTAGACTTAATTCTTTAGTTAGGCTATTCTTCACCATATTCTATTAAGTTCTAGTCTTTTTACTTCCTTTCACTTCCAGTCTGTTGTACAAAGAAAAGTGAGGAACTGTGTACTGACGATTTAATGACACTCTTAATCTGAATGCTTAAAGATCTTACTGTTTCAACATTGTGTCATATACCAATTATTGTAATTCAACAAGAGAGCACAGACTTTAAAGACCTAAGGTAAAAAAGGAGATCTGTCTTTTTAACAGTGACTCTGGTGAAGATCTGTTATTTCCTATCTGTAGGCCTCTTAAAATACTGTTTCCTTAAAAAGCGATACTGACCACACAGACATCCTGTGTAGCTTGTCAGCATGTAGTGCACAGTTTATTTATTAAAGATGTTGAAGAGGTGTAGTTAATTTGGCTTCAAATTAAATGAACATCCAAACTACTTCATGGGTGTTTAGATATAATCAACAAATAAATTTATATTTCAGTACTTAGGTTAAGTGTATACTGTAAGTGTTTTGCTAGATAAACTGGTTGTTTTTATCTACTGCTCATGGTTTAAATACTACAAAAGCAAAACAGATATCATTATTATTATTATTATTATTATTATTATTATTATTATTATTATTATTATTATTATTATTATTATTATTATTAATTGCACAGTGACACAATGCACACCCCCAGACAGGACTGACATGGATGAGTAAAAGTAGAGTTAAAGTAAGCTCTCCACAGCCAAAAAACACGGCAACTGCTCTATTTAAATAGGGGGTGAACTTCAGCTTATGATTAACTATGTACAGTACATCTCTCTTTACTGTTATTTAGATATTCTGAAGCATTATGACAAGCAGCTTAAACAACCTGTTCCAATCCTACAGCTATCTGCAATAATACAGAATGCATCAATGATTTCAAAAGTAACAATTTATTGACACCCATTTAATTTTACAGTTTCCTTCTTTGAAGTCTATTTTTATATTAAAAATAGTTGAAAGAGTTTTTTCTTGCTGCAAGAATATGTTCTTAATTTTAAACTAGTTAGATAAAATAAGTTTGAAACCAGTGCTTATACTTCCTTTGAGAAAAGATAAGGACATATTCTACCTTTGAGGCTGTATTTGCTCGTGACATTTGTTGATATAGACATTAATCCCAGTCTTTCAGCATCTTCATTTGCTTTATTGAGTATTAATGTTTCCTGTTTGTTTTTGTCATTTTTTTTCACAGAGAAAATCCTGAAGGAACATTTTATTGGTTCTTTGAAGCATCCTGTCCCATTGCCAAGGACAAAGGTGACAAGTCAAAATATTACGATAGATCAAGGTTTATGCTCACATTCAGCATATCAGCATTGCATATATATTACTGAAGACATCACTGAAATAAATTTAACTTAAATTTAAACTTAAAACCTATTCAAAACACATTATTTATTATATATATATTTATATTTTTTGAAAGATGCACCATACTAAATTCCTTAAACTCAGCAGAAACAATTTTATAATGCAGTATCACTTATATCAATTGTATATTTTCTTTCCCCTTAATATTTACTGTTTATTCAGGTCTGGCCTGCATCTGACTTTTTTTCATCCAGAAAGCCCTAAATTAAATTTATCTAACCTATTTCTGATCTAACTTATTTCTGAGCCTTGTAACACTGAAACTTAAGGAACGTTAGTATAAACGTAAAAATTAGCCAGTGATTAATGAATTTTTTAATGTTCTGAGAGTCACAGAGTGATTTCCTGTCAGGTGACCCATGAGTCTAGCTATTGAAAAACCACACTGAGAAACAATTTGACTTGTCTTCCTGTTGATGTTTTCAGATGTTTTCGGAAAATAATAGACAGGTTTCTGTATTTTTTAAAATGTCCTTTTGGGAGATTAATTTCTCAGCATAGAAGGAATAATCAGATTGTCACCTGCTTTGCTAATAAAGGGTCTTTGTTGAGTGTGGTACCTTGCCAAGGTTTTCTATTTATTTCAATAATTTATTATTGGCTGCCACATATTCAAAACAATAGAAGGAAAATTGACTGATGATATCAAAGAAATTTACATTATGCATGTAAAAATGGAAGACCCACTTGCTACATACAGTGGACATCTTGTTAAATGTTAATTTTCAAAATTAGTCTGAAATGGGATATAGGCGTCCATCCTGTCAGAACTCTACTCACATTTTCCAATCTAAAATAGTACAGCATCCTCCTTTTTTTCCCTGATCTCTCCCAGTGGATCAACTTCAGTGACATAACTAGGCAAACTATTCCAAACATTAACCTTTCAGTTTCACAATAGATGAAAAGGATTCCTTGAATCTTTTCTGAATGTTCTTGCAGTATATTTTTATGATATCCCTGTATTCTACTGCATAGTCTTTATTGAAATATAATGTCTTCTCTTACATCCAGTTTTCTTTTATCATTGCTTCTCTGTAAACTCATTTGATGAAAAAGAGATGCCACAGTTTGTCATTATAGACTGTGCGTGGCTGCACTGCACATCTTATAATTAATATCCAACACTTTTTCTCATCACAAAGGTTTTAACACTTACTAGTCTAATTGCTTATTTATATGATGAAAAATACTAAACAGAATGAATTGGTAGTAATTATAATTAGTATTCTAATTGTTTATACTAAGCTTAATTTGCATTAGATCTGCTTATTGCAATATTCATAATTTCAAACTACAGGCCATTCCCCCACATCATCATCAAATTGAAGAAATTTGCAATTTATAATTAGAATCACGTCAGTTACATACATTAGGTCACCCGTTTAGCAGGCAAACCTAAGAGCCTCCTGGCATTTGTAACGTGTTGTTTGAATTCTAAAATGTAAAAGCACACATTCCATTGCAGATGCACAATGTAGAGTTATTACTTGTGGTACCATCCCATCAAGCTCACACCCAGGACTCCCGAGCATTGTTGAAACAACTATTAGCCACGACTTGCTTGTAACATCATTTGTTCTAATGCATTAAGTAAAAAATATGTTTGATATCTGTAAGTTCAACCACTTTGTTCGACACTCTCAAATTTAACTTATGTTCTTATTTTTAACCTCTGGCTACTGACCATTAAATAAATTGTGATCACTCTGAACAAGACTGCTAATACAGTACTATACTCAAAATTTACTAGAACAGTGGTTCTCAAACTTTTTGGACCAAGTACCACCCCTAATCCAACCAAAGCATCCAAGTACCACCTACAAGTCATCATCTCATAGGAACCCCAGAAATTCTCAACGACCAACATGAGCACGCGTGCACACACACTCACACATACATATAATAAATATTATAATAATAAACTTTATTTGATGCAGCGACTTTAAAGGTGGCTTCTCAAAGTGTTTTACAGAAAAAAAACTTTAACAACAACTAATAAAAAAGCACCATTTCAGTGAGAGAGGTGAGCCTGTTTAGTTGAGCAAAGCAGATGTGAATTAATTTTTCGAGCCTTGATACAATTCACAACAGAGTCTAACAGATATTAAATCGTCAGGCATTTTCTTGACGGCAAAGGTCTCGCGGTGGATGTTGTAATGCGTACATTAATTTCTGGAGCAACCTCTCTAATTCGTGCAACTACACCGTTATGTCGGCTTGTCATTGCTCTAGCACCGTCTGTACAAACTCAGACGCATTTTATCCAGTCGAGGCCATTCTCTTCGATAAATTCATTCAGAAGCTGAAATATGTGCTCTCCTGTAGTTCCTGTTGGAAGCGGTTTACAGAACAGAAAGTCTTCATGGGACATGCCCTCAAACTCGTATCTAACGTAAACAAGCAAGTTGGCCAAATTGATTACAGACTCACCTAATTGCAGTGAAAAACATCTGCTCATCTTAACGCGCTCTTTCAGTGTACTTTTGATATAATCCTTCATTTCAATAATTCTTTGAATGACTGTGTCTTTCAGGGGGAGGGGGGCAGCAGGTCGAGCTGTTTAGCAGCTTTTTCTCTACACAAAATACGTGTCAGCTCTTTTGTCAACGGTAAATAAGGTTCTTCAAAAATAGTGTAGCTTACCTGCTTTAGCAATACGCAAGCTTGCATTTGTCCGCGTTTCCATTTTTATTTCTGTATTTATTTAAAGTTTTTATTTAATGCGCATGGGAGTGAAACACAGAGACGCTCTGTGTATTTTTCTCAAATTAGAACAGTTCTTAAATATGTGCTCACAAGATTACCTGTGCTCACAAGATTACCTGCGTTCGTAGCACATATTTCTATGCATTCCTGTGTTTAGAACGTTGGCATAGTTCCAAAATCACACACATTTTCCTTTCTCCCTATTTGCTGGAGATACAGTAGCTTTTTTTACATACAATTGGTCACTTGCATCCGTAGTACGCATTCCCTATAGAGTGGTATAGAATTACTGAGTATCTCTTGTGTCCACTGAAGTATTAGCGCGCACTGTATCGTAGTACGTAGGCTGCGTATTCGACACGTATTAAAATACAAAATATGAAAACCCGTCCCGATTTTTCAGCGCACGCGACACAGTTCCAGGTTCATTTGGCGTACCACTTGGCGGCACTCCACGTACCACTGCCGGTAAGCGTACCACAGTTTGAGAACCACTGTACTAGAACATTGTACAATTGGATATGATAGACTACTATGATTCAAAATAGAGACATCTGCACTAGAAAGCTGCAGGAATCAAATTTAAATATTATAAAATAAAATTGGCCTACCTAATTAGATAGGATTGTAAAGATGTACAACACTGATAGGAATAACATTTTTGTTCTTATCGTTTCACAGATCCTGAGGTTTTATTTCAATTCCCTGAAAATTTCAATGACCAGGTATTTAAAAAAGTAATTAAAAGTAAAAAAAGATTCCTAAGCAACATTAAAGTGCCGGGAAGATGTTAGATCCCCCTATGAGCTAACCAGTTTTGTGTCTGCCCTTCCTGCCTATTTCTGTGCAGCAGTGAGAAAAAAATCCTAGTAATCTGATCACTTACAGTTAGAGACAGCAATGTCTCTAAGAGAGAATAAATTTAAAATAAAAGATTTAAATTCAAGATTGGAAGAAGATATGTGATCATAACACCTAAATTTCACAATTAATAAACTCAAACAAAAAGTTAACTCAAACAGTTTTTTATGCTACATGACATACAGTTACTTGTGTCTTCTGCTTGTATTCACGGTGTCAACCATGAATCAACAACTGTTTTTGCATAATTACTTACAATTGGCCTTAATTTTCATGCCCCATGCATAATTGTAACATTTCTCAGTGCTGATGTTTTCAACTTACATTCATTACTTCCTTGCATAGAATAATAATGCTATTTCACAGCATCTCTAATACTGATGATTTCCAATTTCAATTTCCAAATCACATCATCATCTTCTTCTGTCCAGCCAGATCAACTTGATCAGTATCACATCCACTTTCACTGTCTGCTTGAATAGACAAACTTGTTGCTCCTGAATTCCAGGATATTTCCCCTCCAAACCTGGCCTCTGAGATTACTTCAGTAGGACCAGGCCTCATCCTCTACTGCTCTCTAGTCCAACCACGTTGGATTCCTGGTACCTTCTAGCATAAAAGGCCCTGTTTCCTAAGTGCTTTATCTTTCTTTCCTGCCTCACTCATCCTGTGTCTTCTGCAACCACTACTTCAAAACTCTTTACAACTTTCAAGGTCACATTTGTTGTCCTTTCATCAATGTCCTACTGATGTCACACCAGGAATGAGGCTGCTCCGGTTTTATGACGACCTGCCTTCCAGAACTACACCTTTCTTGATTTCCCAGTGACCTGTACAATGACAAGTGGTAGTCTTGACTCCCAGCATGCTCCTTGTCAATCTATATCTGACAACCTTTAGTCTCTTTGTGCAAGGGCATGAAACTTTCAGTGCTTCTTCCCTGTGCCTGAGATTTCTCAAATTTGTCCATTTGCATGGTCTGTGTGATCTGCATGGTTCATGTGTCCTCCATTCATATCCACTGCACACATCTTGCAAGTGTCCTTATTTCTCGTCAGCCCTGCCCCTGTAGCTCTCTCATCTTGTTGTCTTTATCCCCTTTTTACTCCACAAATGAGATGGTCAACATTATTTTCATCTTTCCTCTTTGTTTCAATGTCTGTGATGCCTGTGAGGTGTGTGGCAAAAATAGCACTTTGTATGACAAGGGACACTAGTTTAAAATGTAATTTCTTAATCATGATGTTTTTGTATTCCTTTTAACTGCCCATGTGTCTTCTGCTTGTACTGTGTGGTCTTATTTTAGGCAGCAATGTAGTAATTAGGGGCTTTTAAAACAAAGGTTCTAAGATCATGAACAAAATGAAACACTGCTCCTGTGCCCATTAGTTCAATACTTCATATTACTTCACCAAGATCTCCAGTTGTGTAAATAGGTGCCATTTTAAGTTGCATTAGAGACAAAAATAAATGTAATAATTAATTGCTTTATTTTTTCCTTGTTTTAGGAATCCCAGCAAACTCTACCAAGATTCTGCTTTCCCTATGACGTTGAAAGGTAAAAACAGAAATCTGTAAAATCCTATTTAATTCGGTTTAATTAACACAGATTGTTTTATAATTGTTTTGGTAAGACAATCTTCCCTCTTTCCTAATAAGGGGCGTGGCAAACAGGAGTCAATCCCTGAGCCAGTGGAAAACAAAACTATATCCTGGATGAATTGGAAAGTTTTAAGCAAAAAATGCAGAATGTAAAAGAGCACCAGTATTCATTTTTATTTTTGGCCTCTAGGGTGATAGAGTGCCCAGCAGTGCAGCACTTCACATTTGTATTGACAGATCTGGAAGGCAATCAGCGCTTTGGTTTCTGTCGTCTCACTTCCAGTTCCAGGACTTGTCTTTGTATCCTCAGGTGAGGAAACCTCCAGTACTTTTAATCCACATATCTTCCACAATAGTCCTCTTTATCTTGCAAGTGGTGCAAAAAAAGATATTCATGAGGAAAAAAGACATTAGATGTATTAGATGAATTTGACAATGATTTCTGGGGCTATAGGTACAGTGATATTTGTCTTACCCTCTGGGCTAAGGTCCATAACCCTGCTCACAGAATGATAAATTCAGGACCTTCATGCAGAGTGAATAGTTAACCAAAAGGTTAAAATTAAAGATACATTTTGTATCCATTATTATTGTTTATTTATAGCAAATTTTCCCTAATGCCTGTTGTATGTTTCGATAGACACAATGAGGAAAGAGGCTGAGGAGATCTGTTAGCACCTACAGTACGATACTACATACTGTATCCAGAATGTATAAAAAATTACTAAAAATTGAATCAATTTTGTGAACAGCAGTGACTATAATGTGAATGTGCCATTATGACTACAATCACTATTTGTAGATGGAGTGAAGATTTATTTACAAGAAGGATGAAGGGTAGTTTATTCTAAGCAGAATGACAGCAAATTATCATTAGATGTGGAGTAAAGGATTTATTTTTAAAAATAATAATAATGGTTAAAAAATAAAAATTTCAATCAGAAGGAACAAAAGATTTTGAAATACACAGACATCTCTAGATATCTGACCTTAATCCACCATTATTTAGGAGGATTTAATTAGTAATAAAATAATATCCAGACAATACCTTTGATTCCATATTTCAGAAATATCTGACAAGCCTTCTGTCTGTTGGACAACTCTGTATTAAAGATGTATTTAGATTCTATCAGAATGTGTGGAAAATCCCCATAGTGTTGTCTCTGTAATTTGAAAGGCTGTTCATTAAAATAACATCAATGACATCTGAAATATTAAATACCACAGAGATTGAGGGAAAACAGCTTCACTTCAAATAACCTTTTGTTTCTTGTCACCCATCACCATTTTTATTCCAGTTATCTACCTTGGTTTGAAGTGTTCTACAAACTTCTGAATAACCTGGCAGACTGTCTGACTAAGGGACAGGTAGGGCCATCTGACAGGAGAAACAGTATATACAGTACATAACTAAAAATAACAATATATAGTTGTAATTACAAATAAACTAATGTTTTAAAATGTTAATTTATCACTAAATGGTTACTGAATACTAATTTTTCCTAATAGCTGGAAATGGATCTTTAAGCAAATGCAAAAAAGTTTAAGCAACTTACGGATGATAAGAAAGATTCTAAGCCCTTTATGCTCTACAGCTACTGACAAACTAGGTGTGCCATTTAGGTATAGAGAGCTGACAAGGTTAGTGCTCACACTTGTCCTCTGTAAGCCATGTGAAAATTGTGAGTCAAATAAACTTCAGGTAAATATGAAAAAAATATTCTCCTTTCATACTGTTTCATTTTAATAAAAGAGCAGAAATACTGTGAGTCAATACTGTGGCTCAAGTGTGCAGCACACTGGTCTCTCTGGAACTCATTTTATAAACTTTTCTTTTTTTTATTAATCTTTTCAGCTGTACAATTAGGTCTTTATTTTGTTGTATCGCAGTCAGAATTCTTCCACGAGATATCATGCTTAATTTATTTTTTATTGTTTAATTGACATTCTTTCAAGGCCCCATCCAACAGCAAACAACATGATTAGGGTCACGTTTTCCATCATGTCTGAAGTTAAGCACCTGATTACACTTTTTTATTATGCCTGTAATCAGGTTTCTTTGTATTCTTCTACAGCCAAGGCTGGCACATACTACACTAAAATCCTAACTTTTCTGCCCTTATGTACTGTGTGATATCAACAAAATAAAAAAATAAGCTAAGTAACACTTTTGGTCAGTGATTAGAATGAATCTCTCATTTATAGAAAATAATGCTACCAAAAGATATTGACGTAATTGATTCCTGTATTTGTGTGCATTCCTATTTTCCTCTGGTGGATCACTAGTTTTTCTTCTTTAATAGCTTTTCACCTTTGTTTGTCTCTGTTTGTTCTGTTCACCACCTCCTCAACACCACCCCTTCTAATGCCCTGTTTCTGTGTCTATCCAATGTGGGATAAAAGAAGGAGGAACCACACCTTGTTTGGGTCAGGAAATGGGCTTTTAGGAGGCCAAAGAGGGCATTGTGTAGCTCAGAGCCAACAACCCAGACTGATTAATCCCACCTCACTGTCCATGGTGCTAAGCCAATTGGGAACCACCAGTTGGGGAATTGTGGTCACAGTCAGCTAGTAACATGACCCAGACTGTGATCATAGAGCTCAGCCTCTCACAAATAAGAGCATGGGTTGAACCACTCAAGAGCCTGAATATCTAAAATGATTTAGTTTTTTTTTAAATAATGAACTTTATGTATAATACCTACTACCTGCATTTACTAGAACTACATTGTGTCATTTTTTTTTTTTCAAAAATAAAAGACCATAGGACATACAAACAATTATATAAATGACAGTATATAATTTGGGGATTTATAAAGTTCTGATATACAGTATTTATATCAGGGATATATTTATATTCAAGTTCTGAATGTGGGAGACATTTCTTTACCAGAACATTTGAGTGCCTTCCTACTTTAAAGGATAAAGATAACAGGATTTATAAGCTGTATTGACCAGTTTACAAATCCTGATATCCTGTTATCCTGTTTAATTTATAGTTTTATAAAACAAATAAGTCAACCCATACAGGTCAAATAACAATACACACTAGGTTTAAAATACACTACAATTTACATGTGTTTTACATGTTATTTTAGTTATGATATTATGTCGAGTTAACTCAGTTTAGTTCTTGCCTTTAGTGCTGCCCATGGAAAAGCTAAAGAAAAGCTAAATAACTATACATATTTATTCACAGAAAAATGAAATGAAGGAATTGCTTTCAGCTCTCTACAAACATCCCATTCCTCAACCTGACAGCTCTGTTGTCCTCCAACTGGTATGTGTCCCTTTTTAAAATAATTATTTTTTTATAACTAAATCCAATCATTTTTTTCCCAAGAACTGAAAGAATTCTAATTGAGCATTTACAAAATGAGACAGAACTGAAAGAACCAAAATGAAAAGCCTTTACACTTCTTTTCATAACAAAATTGTAATTAATACAGTTGATACCCTCTTAAATAATAACCTTTGCCATTTTATGACATTTAGTACCCTCTATCAGTATGTACTTGCCCCAGAATGGCACCAGTATAAGCTAAAGAATGATTAAATACTGGAAGACTTGGACTTTAAAATAGTAGCTTTATTCACAATAATTCTGAAAATGTACAGTTGCAAAACAAAAAAAGTGTTGTAATCACTTTATCAGCCCTATACAATTTCTTGCATTAGGAATTCATCTTTTCACATACCCCAGCTTGCTCTCCATGAGACACACAGACAAGGAAATAATCTTGGGGTCAGCCATTGTACAGCACCCCTGGAGCAGCTGGGGTTAAAAGTTGCCAACAGAGTAGAAACCCTCTGCCAGCCACGGGATTTGAAGCAGCAACCTTCCAGCCATAGCCCCAGATCCTTAGCCACAGAGCCATCATTCCATCCCCTTTTTTATATAACATAAGCTGTTGAAGACTTAAACAGACATAGAAAGTCTGCTGGGTTCTGCACACCAAAGTTTATAGTTGGGGATACCTCTTCTAAATAAACATAATCTTTTCAACTAGTTTATTGTGGTTGCAAGGAGGAAAATATGATTCACCTCCTTTATCTCTAACTGGAAAACAAATTGTATCTAGTACGAACCTCATCATACCATCAGTGCAAAAAGGGAGTCCAGTGAAGTCTAATAATAGTCAATGGTTGCAGCGTACATCCCCTCCATAAGCAGAGTCTGTAATATCTCACCATCAGGACACAGACTCCATTTGAATAGAAACTATATCACAGAAGGAAAAACAATGAGAGCTCTGTAAAATCAGTAGCCTTCCACTGATTTACCTGTCAGCCCTGTAGCAAGCCTCTGACCATAAAAAAAAACAGTTAATCAACTGCATTTTGTTCATTGCAAGATCTATTGGTCTGGGATTTAATTGGTATGTTACTTTACTTCTCTGCTGTTTTATTTGCATGCATAGATGTATTTAACATACAGTAGATGGAAAGAGGTATTATATGTTGGAGAGTAGCCCAGTTCCATTGTCTTTTGGGGGGATACGGAAAAAGTAATGGAGATGAGTTTGCAAAATATTCTTAAATAAAGGCTGGATAGAATCTAGCTAAACCTAAGTACAAAGAAAAAGTTAAATATAATAAAATAACTTAATAAACATACTGTACAAGGGGATGATGTCAACCAACAATTTCTAAATTGTTTTAAAACATTGTCAGACATAGGGCATGCAAAATAATGTTTGAGAAGAAATTTAAATATGATAATGTCACTATTCATTAACGGTTTTGTTTTGATCTTGATTTTGCTGGCATTTTTAAAATTTTATTATTACATGTATATAACAAGAAAATATAAAGAATGTCAAATTAAAAAGTCAAAGTTAACCACATGTTAAGACAAGGTGAGAGAAAATATTGTCCTGAGCAAATTATTAAACAATAATTAATACAGTATTTATGAAAAATATAAATGTATCATATTACTTGAGCTACATTGACAAGTTGCATTAATAATTTAATAAAGACTTTTAAAATGTGAAATAATGGCAGTCTGGTACCTAGAGACACATACATAGAAATTTTGCATTGCTTATAAACAGTCAAATATTAAACTAAAGGAGAGAACTGGTAATGATATTAAATGAGCTTGCTAAAGGCAGTGCACACAGCAATATTTCTGTAGAATCTTGTTAAAAATGAGACATTGTAAGTTTATTTTTCTATGCAGAGGTTTGAGAATATCAAATACTGTAAAATGTAAAATGACCTCAGATAAGAAAACAGAAGATATGTTGTATTAGTGTCTGACCTTAGATGCTCCAGTGACGGTTCATAACGCTTTTTTTCCAGAAGAAACAGAAGGGCATTGTGTTATTTGTGCCCCTTTTATGCTAGAATAAACTCTTTGTACAAGAACAATGCAATCTACTAATCTGTCACTAGTGCTAAAAGACACATAATATGCACATCAGAAAGAGTAGTGCAACTTCAATGATTATCATTATAACTATGTAAGAACACCTTTGGTGAATGCTCTTTTAATTAAATGTACTGACAGCTATTATGTATAATTAAGAAGTTCTCTTACTATTATTCTCAGTGAGAAAATTCTGGTTAATGTTTTGCAAAGTTTCCATATTATGGTTTCATCTTACAGAGGAAAGTACTGGTGAATCCTAAAGGAAAAACTGATTGAGTTACACAAGAATCTAAAACTTGGTTGACAATTTACATTTTAGCAAGATAATGCTATAAAGCAGCAGAGCAAAGTCATACTTATAATTTTTGACAAGAACAGAATCATGACTTTGACTGGCCCAGTTGAAGTCCTGACTTCACCCCAATAGAAAATGTATGGCAAGACTTGAAGACTACAGTCCGTAAATGATAACCAACAACCTTATCAGAACTGGAACAATTATGGCAGAAAGAATGGGCAGAAATGGAAATAATTGAGAATTAGAAAGAATGGTCTTCTGCAAAGTTGTAAAAGAAATATCCAAAAACAGCGACACAAGTAATTGCTGCCAAAGATGCTTCCACCGGGTAGTGACTTAAGCACAATTTGTAAACTTAATTTTATCTTAGCAGGTTTTGTCATTCTTCACATACAAAAGTGTTCAATTTGATCAGCACTCTTTTGAATGAAACATTTCAATTTTAAACAAAAACATTTGTAATTTTTCATTGTAACTTTACACAGTTATTTAATATTGTAACTGAGGAGTGTATTATTTTGCAAATCATTCTATATAGAATATAGAAGGGGTTACTGACATTTTGATTTACTAGAGTCAATTAAACCCTTTGGCGGAAAATCATTTCATCATGATGGAATTTTACATTCCCATGCCTTTTCATAGTTTTTTTCCAGCATTGTGAACTGTTGCCATAATGATCCAAGTAGTGGAACGTTAAAAAAAATACACATGCATGCATATTATATTATAAAAATCAACTACTGGATCATGAAAAAAATGAATTTGCAAAGGTATTATTTTCATGCCAAGTCCATGCAAATCACAGCAGAGTTGCATGCAGGAAGACCAGAGCTTGTAAAAGGACCCAAAATAATTAGGCCCTAAGAGGTAGTAGAGAAGTAGTTTCTCGTACTCTAAACTGAAATAAATTAATATGTATCTTTAGCATTATTCCTTTGCTAAATTACCATTGTCTCTTAAATACCACAAGCCAAGAATGAAAAAAACAGTAAAGTGATATGACTAATATGAAGTGAAATATAATTGTGAAAATTGAAAAATTAATTAAATTAAAATTTTAAAAATAAATGTAATGAGTTTGAATTTTAAATTCTAAAACAATTTTATTTCTAAAACATGAAATACTATGTATTTTGTGTTTAATAAAATTCAATGCTCATTTGTCACAATGTCAATGCCTCTCTGTATATCCATATTAAAAGATACTTTTTAAATGTATTTCAGTTTAGGGGAAACTTTATAAGTGTGTTCTGTGTCAAAATGTCTCTTTATTGTGGGGTCAACTGACATTCCCAATGCTTACTGTATAGACATTTGTGCTGAAAACGTTGAGCATAATGAAAAATGATTTTACCCTGTATTTTCACAATAAGGACCAGGAGCTGCAGCTCACCACAGTGGCTCTGCTCAAACAGCAGGGCAAGAATATTAAAGACCTGTCTAGTGGGAATCTCGGGGTGAGTGTAAGATTCTGGTGTCAGAATGTGCCGGTGAGCCTGTAGCTAATCAGACTAACACGTGTAGTCCGTCATGTCTACAACCAAGGCAGACATGCAATAATATGTTGTCATTTTGGGGTTTATTGAGAGAAAAATTAAAAAATGGAGCAAATTCAAAAAGATGTTTATTAATATTTAAAAAAATTACCATCTAAAATGTGTGTTGGTTTGTCAGAGGATTACTGCTTTATACAGTAGCTTGTTCACTTACAGTGAGTTCTAAATACAAAAATAATGAGCAAGCATGATGTTACTGCTTCCACTCTCCATTTGGAATGAGTCACTTCAGGTGGCTTAACCAGCAATTCCCAAATTTTACAAAAGTAACAGTATTAAATTGTGTAAAAAAAAAAGCTCTTACTGAATTTTATTGCAGGAAATAAAAAAGTGAGGTAAGGTCTCACACTAATATTTTGGTCTCATACCTACTTCAAGAGTGTTACTTGAATAGTGTCCAGGGCACATCTGAAGAGATCTGCTAAGAAATTCAGTGATAAATTACTTGGCTTTATAAAACACCATCTCTCTTTTAAAGCATTCAAAAATCACTATACATATTTACTGTATAAAATTATAGTTTGAATTTCTGTATTTTCTCTCATATTAATCTGATCTGATTGATCTCAAATACAAAGTTCATTATTTGCAAAAATGACAAATTAAACTTCACTGTCCCAATAATTAGGCTTTTCTCTGTATTTATGTTAATGCCTATAAAGGCAAATGGAAAAGGAGTTATGTGACAAATATATTGTATATATATTGTATATTGTGTGGTTTTCTGAGTCCTGACACCAGTCCATATGGAGAGAGCAGACTTAACTTTGTTTAGCATAACTATGCTCAGGTCCGCATTTAAATCTTCATAAGATTCCTAATATGTAACTAATCAAACTAATAAAATCAATGAATGCTGCATGCATTGTTCTATACTAACAAACATTTTTTTGCAAAAACCAGTCTGAAAGGTCTGAAGACTTATTTATTGGTTTTTGGTATTAACAGAAAGAGCTGACAAGAAGGTTTGTATTGTTCATTTAATCAGACAGGGTGTGTGTAAAAGAGAATGTGTGTATGATCCGTGAGTGTACCACTTCTGTATTTTGAGAAACGTACCTGTCCACCTGTTCTATAAAACACCTTACTACTTCCTATGTGTGTGTTGCTTTTCATCAGTAGTCCTCATAGAGAGCTCCATGGGTGTTAAAAACGCTAAGTTTCTGTTATGCAACATGTGAATGAAAGAAGTGAACACAAAACAGTTCTAACTAATAAAACTGGAAAATATCCCTTTCATGACATTGTTGTCAACTTCGAAATGTGGTGAACGGAAACAAAGATTACCAAACTGATGTCTTAGGTTTGTTTGTACTTTCTATTATGTTGTGCTAGGAGGACGTCGTGAGTGTTGTTTAGACTGATCACAACTGAGAGCAACACTCTTTTATTATCTTATAAAACACCATGTATGAGCTCCATTAACATTAACATGCAGATCCTGTAAATATATTGTAGATCCTGTAGAATATCTGTAGAATAACAACTTTAAGGAACACATAAGTACGTGGGAGGGGTTGCTTATTTGTAATTTATAAAATGGATAAATCAGAGTTTAATCAGAAATTAATTTAATATTACACTTTAAAACATACTATCTATAATATGTTATGCTGAAGTACGTATATAATTATTTCAGACCCAGTCTGGGGCTGTGATTCATCATACATTTGTCATGCTAAATCACAACCTTAAACTGGATTTGAAAAAACAAAACATCCCTTTTCAACATCCCTGCTGATCTAGAAATTATTTGCTCTGATATGAATTTGATGGAAAATTAGTAGCTAAAAGAAAAAATAATAATTCATATTCCACTCTTCAGTATATGGAAACCTGGCAATGAGTGTCCTACAGCTTTCTAGAAACAACATTTGGCAATTCTCACTCAACAAGCAACTCAATGGCCCAAACAGAATATGAAGTCTTCTCATTTCTTATATTTTTATTGAAATGATTCCACGCTATAATGTGTCTTCAATGGGCTTTTAGAGTTTTTGCTTCAATTTTGGGGAGAAACCTTAAATCCAAAGAACATAACATATTTTCACAATTTAATTGTCATCCTCAACATGTCATGTTTACATTCAGTCCTGTTGTATACATTTTGGGCATAAAAATTATATTTAGAAATGCACAGTGCTCACTGTGGGTAGCAAGAGAAACTTGCTTGAGAAACTGGTTAACCATTTCTTTCTTAATGCTTTTGCTGTTAGCTGCCATATTTCATCGCACCAGACTTGGGAAGCCTGCCTACCATACCTGAAAGTGTAAGTGCTGATGATCTTCAGAATAACGTAGTTGTATAGATTGTATTTTAAATTTTTGTATTTTGCTATAAAGTATTTACTGGCTTTGAGTTTTGTCTGAAATTTTTTTTGCAACAATTTTGAAATGCCAGTGACTATACCACCATCAAGCCTGATCTTTTCAGATCTCAGAAAACTCATTAACACCTGCTTATGGTCAGACTATTGAAGAACATCAGGTTACTATTGGAAGTAGTGTTGGAAGATCATATGTGGGGTGCTCCCTCTTAAGAGTGGTACCAGGAGCTCTGTTCTATAGAAATGATCTTTCTTTCAATACTAGAAGTCCCATTGTAGCCTTTTTATTTTTACTAGATCAAGGATTCTAACTCTGCTATTCCAAATCAGGCTTCCTGAACATTCCCTGCTTGATTTGACCATCTTGTATAATCTCACTACAACATCCAGGTTAAATAATACAATAAATGAATTTACACAACACCCTTTATTTCACATTTACACAATGCCCCTAAAGCTAAAACTGCCTGCTCACTAATACAATAGAATGCACACAAAAGAAAAAAATGACACATCCACAGTGATGTGCTGCTGTATGTTTGGAATTTGATATATTTCTGAAAATAGTGTCTGTGCTCTATTTAAAGAATAAATATCAAATAATCTAATAATAACTAAGCTCTACTTCTTTTAATTTCAATCATCATTTAATTAATGTATTAATGAAAAAGTTATCTGTCAAGGGGTGATAAGGGGTATCACAACATGTCCAAAACAAGAATGCACTTTTGTCAAAAACCATCATGGTTTCTGTTTGAAAAATATGAGTTATCAGGTTATTCACTGAAAGAAATGTTAACTCACAGTTAACACAGTACAGATACAGTAGTTAGCAATCATCAACATCTGCTGTCCAAAACATGGCAGGTCATGGGATAGAGAGAAATAACATGAGTCTAATTTGCCTTTGTTTAAGGAAAGAGTAGGGATCTTTGACAGCAAATCTTCAGTCCTGGTCACACTATTTAAAAGTCTTTACCTTTGATTACCACTGAATAATGTAGAAAATAGGCAGCAGCATGGAACAATGGTTAGGACTTCAGACTGATGGGTTTGGGGTTCAAATGTGGGTTGCTGTTCGGGTGTGTTATTGCTGGTGTACACTAGAGAAAGATACTTCACTTATGTTATTTTAGTAAATATCTTGTTGTGTAAATGAGTCTCCAGATTCATCAATGTTAATTGTATTTACCTTGTTAAATATAAGATTAATTTGTTTTCTGCTTTCGTTTCCTGATGACATGCAGTAAGTTGTGGGTATATTGTGTATGCATTTACAGCAATAAGGTGCAAAGACTCTAATTGATTCCCCATCTGCATTTTCTTAGAGGAACCTTACAGAACTGGTGGTGACAGTGGATGTCAGCAACCTTCTGCATCTCTATGCCAGTATGCTATTCGAGAGGAGAATACTCATCACTTCAAGCAAACTAAGCACAGTGAGCCATCCTGCCTTTTTTTACAAAGCTTGAAAAGCTCAGTAATTGCAGGGGCGGTGTACTGTATTAGTGGTATACCATTAGTGGTATTCCTCCTTAAAGAATAAATAATTTCATTCTGGTTTTATGTTTATTCTGTGTTTTTTTTTGTTTGCCAGTTGGTGAAGCAATTTATCAGTTTTCTATGTTTAAGCTGCATTGACTTACAATCTTCTTTTAGTGCTATTTTTTGTTTTTAAATATGTCATTTTCTTTCTGTGATGGTGTTTCAGCTGACTGCCTGTGTCCATGCCACCAGTGCCATGCTCTATCCGATGTACTGGCAGCACATATTCATCCCAGTGCTGCCACCCCACCTGCTGGATTACTGCTGGTAGGTCCCTGTGGAATGAGACATAAAAACAAAACCTATGCATTTCTGTATCAAAGTGCTTCATTGTTTCTCTTCTGTTTTGCAGTGCTCCAATGCCCTACCTTATTGGTGTCCACTCAAGTCTAATGGAGGTACATTTTTTACTATCTTCAGAAGTTTCTACTGAATATTATATTCACAGTAAGACATATGAGAGAGACAACACAGCGGTGCAGTGGGTAGCTTTGCTACCTCTCAGCACTGGGGCCCTGAGTTCAATTCCAGACCTAGGTTGCTATCTGCATGGAATGTGTTCCTGTTTCCTCCCGCAGTCCAAAGACATACTGGTACGTAGGTTAATTGGCTTCCAGGACAATTGTCCCTGGTTTGAGTGTGTGCATGTCTGTGTTACTCTGCAATGGACTGGTGACCAGTCCAGGGTGTATCCTGCCTTGTGCCCATTGCTTGCCAGTATAGGCTCTGGCTACCTCATGCCCCTGAATTGGAAAATGCAGATAGCAATGGATGGATGGATTGGGAAATATGTCTCTATCATAGCTGTTTATCCACGCTTATTTTTGTTCAGGAACAGTTCAATCATTTTTACGCTGGGTAGATGTAACTTTTAGTCACTACCATCAACAGCTTGCTATTATTCCAAGGTCGGGATTGACTAAGAGCGTGTGAAGCGTATTTTGTTTGCAACACTACATGTTCTATGTCACAAGACAAAGCAATAGTCATGCTCTTTTTATCACCAGCAGGAAATATTTGTAATAATATAGATAAAGGTTAGTACATCTGTATATAAGAATGTAAAGATACAGACACATATTGCCTTCTCTTTTTATTATTGGTCTAAGAAAGGGAGACAATCTTTTTTAATGCTAATACAAGGCATTAAAATAATTTCCCTAAAGGAAAAAAAAAGACGTATTTGTGATTGCATTTGTTTAATGGACTAGTCTAAATCTTCATGTTTTAGATAATCATGTTTGCAAATAGTTCCTTACTAGATGCATATCACATCTTGTATTAAGTGTTATGTTATTTTATTATACTTTTTTCACCTTAGCTAGCCATTCAATATACTATTTAGCTTTCAGAGCAAGGAAAATGTCTTGAAAGATTTCTTCATGAATCATAGCTAGGAAATGAAAACGGTGGTTTAATTAGGATTGCACAAAGTCTTTAAAATGCAAAAATGAAGGACATCTGCATCATTTACAAAGCAACTTTGGAATTTCCTTTTTTAAAGGAGAAGCAGACAGATATTCATGCAGGGCTACAGAAATAGGTTGTGTGGTAAAACAGAAACACCAGAGGAAAGGTCTAAAAGATATCTTAGTAAATACTATAAAAAACATGGCTTTCTTTTGTTGTTAGCAAAATTAAAAGCACACTATCAAATTACTGCTCTAGAAATAGGAATTCCTGTCACAATTAAGAGCTCAAACCAGTTTGCAATGTTTGGTATTGAAATTCAAGCTTCAAAAGAGCTTCCATCTATTTTAGATGGTTTTTACTCTTCTATGGTTTCCATTCTATTACTATTGAAAAGACCTGACTTTTCTCAAAAACTGTACAACCCTTTGTCTTCTTTCACCCACAGAGAGTTAAGAGTCGGGCTTTAGAAGATGTCATCATTCTGAATGTTGACACAAACACTATGGAATCACCATTCGAAGATTTAAAGAAGATTCCTTCAGATGTGGTATGTGGTTTCAAATGTTAGAGAAACATGTGGCTTGGACAACTAGAACATATATCAATAGATAGATAGATAAAACTTTATTAATCCCATAGGGAAATTGATGTGTTACAGCAGTCCAGCCCAAGACAAGCAAAAATAGAGATCAGAATAGTTATAAAACAAAAGACAACAAAATAACTAAAAATAAATAAATAAAAAATAAATACATAGGTTTGTGCAAAATGTGATGATCATAGTCACTGTAAAAACAATAAAATATGTGCAAAATGCACATAGGTTAATACAGACTGATTGTCCAAAAAGTACAATGGACCAAAGATGCTGTCCATAGATGAGCAAATGAAGGGCTAACAGTCCTAGCCTAGGGCAGCGTTATACACCCTGACTGCCGCTGGGAGAAAAGACCTGCGGAAACGTTCCCTTGAACACCGTAGCTGGAGCAGTCTGTTGCTAAAAGTGCTCCGCTGCCCAGTAACAGTCCCATGAAGCGGATGAGAGATGTTGTTCATGATGGCTGTGAGCTTGGTCAGCTCTCCTCTCAGCCACCACCTCCATGGGGTCAAGGCTCATCCCCAACACAGAGCCAGCCTTCTTGATAAGTTTATTGAGCGTATTTGCATCTTCTGTCATGATGCTGCTGCCCCAGCACACAACAGCGTAGAAGATGGCTGCTGCCACCACTGTTTCATAAAAACTGTGTAGCAGTGTTCCACACACACCAAAGGACCTGAACCTCCTAAGAAAATAGAGTTGGCTCTGGCCTTTCTAGTACAGGGCGTCAGTGTTACCAGACCACTCCAGCTTATCATCCAGGTGTACCCCTAAGTACTTATAGGAATGTACGCCCTCTATGTCCTCACCCTGGATGGAAACAGGGTTCAGCGGAGACTTATTCCTTCGAAAGTCCAAAATCATTTCTTTGGTCTTGTTGGTGTTAAGCTGGAGATGGTTAAGATGACACCAGTCCACAAAGTTGGTAATCAATCTCCTATATTCCTCCTCCCTCCCCTCTCAAATACACCCCACAATTGCAGAGTCATCCGAAAACTTCTACAGATGACATGTCTCAGAGTTGTACCTGAAGTCAGAGGTGTAAAAGGTGAACAGGAATGGAGCAAGGACAGTCCCCTGTGGAGCCCCAGTACTGCTAACAACCTGTTCGGACACACAGCTCTGTAGCCGTACATACTGTGGCTTGCAGGTCAGATAGTCTATAATCCAAGACACCAGGGGAGTGTCCACCTGCGCCGCCCTTAGCTTATCTCTCAGTAAAGGTGGATGGATGGTGTTAAAGGCACTGGAGAAGTCAAAGAACATAACTCTCACAATGCTCCCCGTCTTCTCCAGGTGAGAGTTAGCTCTGTGTAGCAGATAGATGACTGCATCCTCCACTCCCAAGTGTGACAAGTAGGCGAACTGCAGGGGGTCCAGTGCTGTACTCACCAGGGTTCTGAGGTGCTCCAGAGTTTTCATTAGGTGTGATGTAAGTGCCACTGGTCTGTAGTCATTCAAGACTTTAGGGTGCCCCTTTTGGGGTCCTGGCACCAGGCAAGATGTCTTCCAGAGCATCGGAACCTTTTCTAATCTCAGGCTGAGGTTGAAGATATACTGCAGCACTGAACCCAGTTGGTCCGTGCAGATCTTTAGCTCCCTGGAGCTAACACCATCAGGACCCGCTGCCTTCCCTGCATGGAGTCTCCTCAACTCCCTTCTGACCTGGTCAGCTGTGATGGATAGGCCGTGAAGGGCAGGGGAAGATGGAGTAGGAGGGATCTCATGATGGGGTGACTGAGGACATGAAGAGGGTGTCTGGGGTGAAGGCCTGTGAGGTGAATGGACAGTGGACCCTGTATCGAATCTGTTCAAGAAAAGATTCAGCTCATTGGCCCTCTCCAGGCCTCCCTCACCCTGTTGGCCGCCGGACAACTTGTATCCAGAGATCTTCCTCATGCCACTCCACACTTCTCTCACATTGCTCTCCCTCAGCCTGTCCTCCATTTTCCTCCCATAAGCCACCTTGCTCTCCCTAACTCTCACTTTCAGCTCTTTCTGTGTCTCTTTCTGTGTCTCAATAGTCCTGTCAAAATTTCTGGGGGGTTTCTCAGAATTGATTTTGTGCATTTACAATCCTGGAATGGCATACTGTGCTTAATAGTATACTGTAATTAGGAAATGAACAATTTTATTGTTTCTTTACCAAGTTTCCTAAAATAATACGTTTCTGCACATTAAGGTTTCTAATCTGTAATGGACAAGATATTTTGTGATTAGGCTCTGGCTCACTGTGACTGTGACTAAGCAGCTATTGAAAAAAGACAAATGGATAAAACTATTTTTGACATTGATGCACTTATATAACTCAGAAAGCTTTTCAAAATATTCCCCAAACAGACCTGGTGTATAACAGACATCTCAGCTCAAATTTAAATATAGTGACTATGTAAAGCCTAAAGCCACAGAGGGAGATAGATCCTAATCTCTTTAAACGATGTGCACTTGTAAACATTACCTGAAGACTTGAAATATTTTGAAAGTCAGGAATAATTTTGACTTTTTTAATCATTATTTGAATGCAATTTCAATTTTTCAAAGTAAAAAAAAAAGATATTTTCTGTATTAAAGATATTTTTAACAGTTTATCATAATTTGCTTCAAGTTACTAGTCCTGTAACAGTTTTTTTTTCCACAACACATCAGGCTGTTTTTCATGGTTGAAATAGAGACTTCAACATGCATAGAAGTTTAAAGCCCTGCGTTTAGCAGAATCTGTGCTGCTGATGTAATAAAAATAAAGGAAATGACAGTGAACAAAAACACAGAAATAAAAGCCTGCAGGCAGAACAAGTGGCACCAGAGGTCATCTTGCTTTTTGGTAAAGCATGCCACACACATTGTTTTGCACTGTTTTAAAGGCATGTCAAGGAAAGGTTAGTGATCACTGAAGCACGTGATAACTGAAAAATGACAGGTTGAAGTTAGAAACAGGAGCTGTGGAAACCCACAAACAGCTCAAAATGTCATACTGTAAGTGGAGATATTTCTAGAGCACATTAGATTCATCTATGACATTATCTGTCTCAGGTGTCACTTTTGAAGATGAAACTAAAGAAACAGTCTGCCGCTACTGGGGATGGCGTGGCGCGAGCATTTCTGAGAGCACAAGCACTGCTCTTCGGGGGCTACCGGGATGCACTTGTCTGTGAGTTGGTAAGTATGGTCCCCTGTCCTCAAGCCACAGATCAGGGCATCAAGTTCTAGTTCATTATTGATTTTTTGTTTGATGTATTTTGTTTATTTGAATTATTATACAGAAATTTAAAATCTGTAAATGTTTTCAACATGTTTTGAATGGCAAATAGTTTAAGTCTTTCTTTGTGGCTACAACCCCAGTACCACACATAAGAACAGTGACCTCACAACAGTTAGATACAGTGTACACTCCTCTGACACACCTGGAAGAGACATTTGTGAGTTACACAGTGCATTACATGACAGTTACTGCCGTCTGGAGAAGTTTTCCTATCTGACATCACTGTAAGTTTGTAAATGTCCAGCAGATCACAGATTGCCATGCCAAAAGCTTGACCATGTCCAACTTAAGCACATCCAGTTTGGACAAATGCATCAGATAATGACATCCACCGGTTGCAAAATGGCACCATCAAATGGCACCATCTGGGTCAGTTCACTCTGTGTTCTGATTAACTGTCTATATGTTAGGCCGTTCAGGAGCTCCCATACTTTTTAACACATTATGTTATTCCTTATATATTTTATTACTGGGAGAAAAGTTCCGATATCAGATCTGATGTGTTCAGGTTTCTCATTAAAGAGAGGAACTCTCTTAAACTGTGAGGTGAGAAATTCAGGAGCTCCATGTTGTTTTTTGACTATATCTTCAATCTTTGTTTTCTAGGACAACCAAATTACATTTTCCGAGGAATCCTTTCTGAACCACAAATCTAACACCATGATGCAATTTCTAGAAAACGCAGTCCACCTACAATTCTTCAAGCAGGTATGCTTATCCATTTTAAACATGCACATAAAGTGCATTCACTACTTGAAGTTCCACCTAGGTATCTCAATAGTTGAATAACAATTCTCAGAAGTCCTTCCAGGCTTCAATAATTTATTTTTAGCAATAGTTTAATGTCACTGATTCACTGCTAATAGATTACTGCTATTATTTATATTACATTATTTATTGCAATTATACAGTCTTCACCTCCCAAGAATACAAATGAGAAATAGATTTAGCACTTGAAATTTTAGGAAGGCCAATTTCAGAGTAGAATTTACACAAGAGACCAGAGTTATATTACTTACAATTTTTGAAAAAGGCAGCTACCAATATCAGGGCATCATTTAATCTGCAAATTCTCCTAGCTCAATACTGACCAGAGCCAAACTTGATTAGTTCTTGAAATATGATGAGATCAGGTTGTAACCTGCTCCTTCTCAAAATATGATTAATATTGATGTTTAATTTGACCCCCCCTTGTGTGTGTAAGTGAACTCTATTAGGTTTTTGTTTAGTGTTTTAAGTATGAACAAACAAAACATGTTTAATAAAAATGACAAAAAAGAGGGAGGAGATTCAGAACTATTAGAGAAATGTGACGTTGTTCTTAATTTGTATTTTCTCTTTTCCAAAAAATAGAATTAAGCAGACAATGTTGCTTTTTCTCATATCTTGCCTAGTTCATCGATAACCGTCTTGAAAAGTTAAACAGTGGGAAGCAATTTGCAGATGTTTTTGAGGAAGAAATTAGCCACTGTGGGGTGTCTGCAGGTATGAAACTAATAATTAAAATAGTTCAAATAGGTAGCTGTGTCAGCATGAGTAGGTTGTAAAGGAACAAGTAAAGGTTTATTCTATGCTGAAAAGAGAAGAAAAAAACAATGCTGTTTTTCTTTTCTTCTCTTTTCAGCATGGAACAAACCTTTACCTGTTCCTTAATAATTAAAATATATCCTTTCATCATGGCCAAATCTTATTACCAACTCCTTAAATATCTTGCAAATATCTTATTTTATATTTGTTTCTTATTTTATCACATTAATGAGTTATTTTATTGTTTTATGTATTCTTTACTTAATGATATGAATATGTATTCTTTGCTTAATGATATTTAATTATTTTCAAATTCCCGTATCAGCCTGTTTTGCTCATATTTAACCAAGTTATAAATAATTTGTGAAACAGCAGAGTATAATTTAAATCCTTCAGAAAGCTCATAGAGTTCCGACAATTGTTGAATTGTAAATACTTTTAGTTTACTGCCAGACTGGAATGTTTATTTTGATGACAGCAGTGCATAACTTTATAATTATAGAACAACTTTGGCATCCTATCATTCTGAAGGAAAAAACAACAGAAGTTTTACGACAGAATTTATGACACAAAGCATTTCCCTTTACTTATACTGTTGTTTTTGGTTTGAAGGGATTCTGACTGCTATACCACTACAGATATTCATGTTATTATAGACCTTGTTAATTAGACAAAGCAATAGAGAGCAGAAGTGACACTAACAGAAGAAACTGGATTGTGCTCATATAAAATCTGTTGTATTTACTTAAAATTGTAATAACATTGATCTTTTTGCTTCTAGGAGGATCAAAATCATATCAGCAACTTGTGGGCAACTTAAAGGTATAATTTAAATATGCTGTATATATTTTATTGGATAAATAGTTCAGAAGTCAAAGTGGATTGCGTTCTTCAGTTTTGATCCATAGTTTTATCTCTAGATCACTTTTGACTAGACAGATGGTTGAGATGTCATTTGGTTTGAAATTTCTTATCAATTTAGATATCTTAGGACATATTTTAACATTCCAAATTGATAGTAATCAATTAATTTAACCATGCCTTTTAATAATTTTAATCGTTTGAGCTCTGAAAATCACTGAAATTGTAAAGTAGGGAAAAGTTAAAAATAAAATAAAGAATGACATAACTGGTGATATTCCTGTGATGTCCTGATTTCTGATGTTTGATGTTTTTGCAAGCTGAGAAGATGGCAAATCATTCTCGTACATATTATACTCTATCATACTTCTGCATATAGTACTGGCAAAGGAAATACTGAATGATCTAAAAAGTTTGGGTCTTAAAAGGAACTGTCCATGATCAGAATACTCAATGATGCTGAATTACCTGCCACTAAGCTTGTGATTTTATCATTATGTATTTAATAGGCATGTACTGTATATTGTGAGACAAAATACAGCATGATAATTAACACAGAAAATACATATTCAGGGTCCCTCTGTAGCTAAGCTTATAAAGGCACTTGATCAGAGCACTGTATGATAACAGTACATATAACATACAGTATACACCAGCAGTTTCAGTCTGGACTATTTGATTAGCAGACTTTGACCTCAATTCTACAAATGGTAGTACACAACTGGCTGAACACTATGGAGTGATCAAAACATTCATGGTTTGTCATGTAATAATGACTCATAGGACCTACAAGTGTTTGAAATATTCCAATGCAGTTATCAAGAGATACCCACTGATGCTAAGCAGGTGTGAGCCTGATGGGAGACCTCCTGGGAAAAACTAAGGTTGCTGCTGGAAGAGGTGTTAGTGGGGCCAGCAGGGGGCCCTCACTAATGCCCCAGTATAGTGACGGGGACTCTATACTGTAAAAACAGGCGCCGTCCTTCGGATGAGATGTAAAACCGAGGTCTTGACTCTCTGTGGTCATTAAAAATCCCAGGGCGTTTCTCGAAAAGAGTAGGGGTGTAACCCCGGCGTCCTGGCCAAATTTCCCATTGCCCTTTACCAATCATGGCCTCCTAATAATCCCCCTCTATGAATTGGCTACATCACTCTGCTCTCCTCCCCACTGATAGCTGATGTGTGGTGAGCGTTCTGGCGCACTATGGCTGCCGTCGCATCATCCAGGTGGATGCTGCACATTGGTGGTGGTGGAGGGGAGTCCCCATTACTTGTAAAGAGCTTTGAGTGGAATGTCCAGAAAAGCACTATATAAGTGTAAGCAATTATTATTATTATTATTATTATTATTATTATTATTATTATTATTATTATTACACCATTCCTCTAACCCTCCAATGGAACTTGCAACATATCCATTAACAGCTGGTCATGTTGTAGGGCTGTGTTTCTAGGTCCCGTGTTCCCGTGTGTGGTGCAGGGGTTGTAGTGGTCAGCTAATGTATAAGGTGATTTGCAATTTCAAAATGGATGAGTATGAAATACAGAAATGGCCAAATCATTTTTAAACAAAAATAATATAAAGAATGGGCAGATACTCCAGCTGTTATAGAGAAAAGAAAGAAAACCATGCCAGCGATTAGATTTTGGTGGGTTGAAACTGAAAGAGACAATGACAAGGAATGAAGGATAGGGGATAAAATAAACAAGGAAAGCAGAGTGATAATTACATTGCAAGAAAGAAGGTAGGATGCAGAGTAGGTGTTACAGAAATCTAAGGACTCCCGGACAGCTGGAGGCCGGCCTTTTGGCTTAGAGAGTTAATCCTCTGCTTCAGTGGGCTGTTTATGTTGGGGCTGGTTGAAGAGATAGTTTGAATCTGTGGTCTGACTTTACATTTTACTTAAGTGAACTTATCAAAAGTTCATGTTAAACTGCTGTGGGTATATACTTGAAGAGGTACCTATCAGCCAGTCAGATAACTGAACAATGTTTTTTAAAACTCATGGTTAGCAAAAAAATGGTTTGAGCAGTTTCAGTTTGCTCCTTTATATCACATATTTAAGTAAAGACCTTTGTTCCATACAGAAAATCTTCAGAAAGGGACACATACCCAGCATTGTTGACTAGAAACAGATTCTCACATGCTGCAAGCAAGGTTTTGGGAAGGAGCAAATACAGAACTGTGAAAGATATGACATGACTTTAGATGGTTTCAAACTTTGGGTTCAACCAAACTTTGGTTGACTTTGGTTTCAAACTTCTTAATTTTTACCTTTTGGATTCAGGGCTTTATCCATTAAAGTTAACTAAAAGAATATATAATCTTGTATAACAAGAGGTTTATGAAAGAGGTTTGACAACATCTGCAGCTTTTACATTTTGTATGTTTCTCATTTTCCAATAGAAAGGAGGTGGTGCATTGATCCTTACAGTGAAGTCCAGGGCTAATCCTGCCATGCTGAACATGTATAAATGTGTAAGTACTGAATGTGCAAGAGTATAGATGGTTGTATTGTAAGTTAGCAGCACATGCCAATCAATAATGCAAGGCATTCAAGGACTAATGCTATATATCAACAATGTACTGTGCCATGAGTTTTTTTTTAAAACTCAAACACACCCATGCTTGACCTGGACACAACCAGCTTTACCTTAATAATGTACAGTATATGGAGTATAAGTATAAACTAGTTGAGAACTGAAGTACAGGTTGAACTTTTTAGAGACGGGAGGAACAAATGCTTATCTGCTCACACTTTAAGGCCCCGCAAAGGGGGAGGATACTCACACACTTAAGTTACTTGGGAAACAAGCAGTTCGGTCTCTGCTGGTTCCCATCTCCTCTCTGGAACAGATAGGGGACTCCAGTTCTAAAGTGACCAACTCAATCTCCAGGGTGTCTCCCTTCCTAATATCCAGTTGAGAAAAATAGTATGGACCGAATCAAACTTTTGAATTTTGAGGTGATCTAAATACTTGAACTCCGTATACTCACATACTTTGAAACATTTAAAACTACTAAATGTGTTAATGACATTGATATTGATATTCACAGTAGTTCCTGTACTGTAAATCCTGCAGTTCACTAGGTTTTCTAGGCAATTTATAATCTTTGTAAGTGAATAAGGAAAGATCTGGAAATATTCTGACAGTATAGACAAATGGTGTGAACAAATGATTTGATTTAAGTCATTAAGGTCTTCAAGGTGGAATGAGATCCCAAAGCCACCATCCCAGACCAGGAGTAAATACCAGTACTAGATGTTTTGCCTCTGTATGAAAAATGCTGTTTTTTTAAAAAGGGAGAAGATTATTTTATACTGTTTTGAATTTTATTGTGTTTAAGAAAAAAAATAATTTATACCGCAGAACTGTTATAAGCTGCCTGAGAATATTCAAAACCTACTTGTGCAACCTGAGGAACAGTAATAGATTACAGTGCTTGTTATTGTCTATAGAAAATAAATTTGTTTATAGAGATAAAAAAGCAGAAACAAAGGTGATGACTCCTAGTCCTGCAAAATTTATTTCACACATATTTTCCAGGCCAAGGGCCATGCCAAATCAGGATTGAAGGAGATGAAAAACCGTCTAACAAACAAGGTAAGAATATATCAATTGATTAATGTGTCTTTACAAGCCTTTATAACTTCTAGAGCTCTGGGATGAAATAATAAAGGTTTGAACAAACAATTCATTAGTGCAGTGGCAGGACACTCATTTGTAATTTTGTGCATATATTTTGATCTGCGCAATACAAACCGGTTATTGTTACTGATTTGTTTTTTTATCCTGCTTCTCAGGACTCTGGAGATGAGCGGTGGTTACAGCGTGGGGGTTCCTTGCGTGCCGATAAGGGAGGAGGACCCCAGTTCCAAAGAAGGATACAGTCTGACTGCCTGCAGAGCCGCCTACCTATCACACAGCACTTTGGCAAGGTTAGCTGTTACACAAAGTAAAACTGTCAGCCTCAGTTTATCTGACACATTTCTATTGTAGTTATATACTGTGTTTCTTTTCTAATATTCTGATTTATTTTTTAGTCTCGACCAAGACGTCCACCCCGAAGATTTACAAGTCCACTAGAGGAAAAGGCAGAAGACAGGAATAGTGCTTGGGCCCTGGGCTGGGATGAGGATTCTGGGTATGACCCAAAATCTTGAACTTCTAAATTCAACCAAACGTGTTTCTAGTATTATTACTAAAAACACTAAAAAGTGTGTTCAAAGAATGCAAAAATCTTATAAATAACTGCAATCTATTCCCCACAGCATGTTAATTTATCATTCCTGAGTTTTCTATCTGTGCATTTTGTTTGTGCAACTCACTGAGCAAACGCCTACAGATGTGCTTTGGGACCTCTGCTGGTTGAAATCTGTAAGTGCTTTCACTAAGAATCTCATTAAAGAAATGTTTTACAGGTATAATACAGTATGTGCATTTTAGACTGTCACTCTTAAATTAGATTTCACATTTCAGTTCAGTCATTTAATCTGGAGTCTTTCTGTGCAGAAGTTAATGTTCACACTAATCATGCACATCATGCACTTTAAGATCATAAATAGTGCCTTACTGTGACAATTTAAGTTCATGCAAATCTGTTTTGAGCATTCCAATTACAACACATTGTAATGAATGGAGTTTAACTCTCCCATTTTGAGATTTTATCTAAAGAACTAACCATATTGCTATATAATCCCAGGAACACTTTGGGTTTAATGTTTTCCCTTAAATAGAAATAATTGAACACATTTAACATATAACAATTTGTGTTATTGCACATTATCTTGAAATTACCAGATGTTAAATAACAACTTTAGCAGTGCCCTCCAAATCTTTTGGGAAATCTTTTGGGACAGTATAGTCAATTTCATTTAAATCTGGAGGTTGATTTAGCCAGTCCTAAATTTGCCACTGTTTTCACCCTGATGAATGTCTTGTTTCTATTGCCTGCATGGTGCATGGTGAAACATTGACTTATTAGAATGGAAGTATTTTCTTCTACGTTAGCAGACAAAATGTTCAAGTAAACTAAAGAATTCGTTCAACTTCTGCCAGACCATGTTTCACAGATGTGGTTGTATTCCTTGGAAATCTGCATTTTTTTTCTCCACACTTTCATCTCTTCCATCACTTTGCTAAAGGATTATTTTGGTTTCATCTGCATAGGATTTTTTTGCAAAACTCTCTAGGTTCATCGTTGTACTCCAAACAGTATTATGATGGAGGTAATGTAATTAAAGCTTCTTTTCTGACTTTCAGGTCAGCTGATGGGGAAGGAATGGGAGCTGGCAACGAACAAACTAATCTGGAAGATCCGGATGAGCAATTCTTCACTGTCTCAGAAGAAATGGATCTTCTAGGAGAAATTTTTGACACACTGAGTTCACAGTCATCCCATGAACGAGGATTACTTTACGGAACTCGCAGCCTAGATGTCTTCAGTGCCGATAATGGGGACTACATCACAAAGGTATGGAAGTTTAACTATGACAATACACAGGTTTCTCACTGCTCTGAAATTAAATATATATATACACAACTTTGCTCAATTTTTCATGAACAAATTTTTACATGTGAAAAAAAGATTCTAGGTAAAAACTATTCATAGAATAGAATCCTTTCTATTATAACACAGTCAGCTTCTTAAACTCATGGCCACACTGCCATACTGCTCCCCAAGTATATCTTCACACTGTGAAATCATACCTACATACTGTATGTAATGCACAGCAAAATCCCTAAAGTAACACTGTTAATTTCTCAGATATTCCCATCAGGCTATAAAGCCCAGGTACACTATATACGATACAGTGGCTCATTCAGTATGTGATCATCTGTCTGGTGTCCTTGACAGATATCATCTGTTTGTCATAGGCTATTTAAATGGTGACGGTGATGAAGAATTTTAAAACTGAAATGGCTGTTTTTATTATGTAACAATGCAGCTACTTTAGAAATGTAGTGTTAGGGATTCGGTAAGAGAAACCAAAACCAGTTAATGAACCCACTTGCAGGAGCTGATAAAGCCTAGCTGTGATCCAAAGAAAACAGTAGTTGAAGAAATTAGCCGAGAGTCCAGGGGAAGCCAGAGATCCAAACAGGGAAAGAGTTACCTAAGCCAGACCGTGATCCGAAACCGTAGACGATAGAGAAATCCGAGAGTCCAGGGGAGGCCAGAGATCCAAAACAAGGAGTGAGTACCGAAGCCAAGCCGTGATCCGAAAAACCGTAGTCAAAGGGGGAAAAACCGTAATCAGAAAACCAAGAAAGACACAAAGCGGAAGAAGGTGTAGTGCAACTAGGAAGCTCGAAAGGAAAACCAATACTGAGCGAGGAGGTAGGAAAAGACTGGTATTTAAGTACAAGATGAGACGGGGGTGTGGTGGTGAATAAGTTAACTGATAGGTAGACTGATGAAGTAAGGCTGCGCCTTCTTCTGCCTCTTCCGTTGCCAGGAGGCAGGGATTGTAACATGTAGTTCTTTCAGTAAACCTCTTATAAAATTCTGTATAAGGTCAATAAATCTTGTTTGATTTTGTTTTTTATCACATCAATAATATGAAATTCTCTCCACACTGAAACAAATATAGAACTAGCTTATTCATTTCAGAGAGAGTAGCTGTAGGCACCTTTTAGAGTAAAACTGGTCCAGACCCATACTAATGCAATGGCACGGGATCTGCCTGGCTCCATTAACTGGATTTTAACAAAAACAAATGAAAGATAACCCCAAGAACAAAAGCCTAAATGAAATCTCTACTTTGAGCTTTGGCTATACATATTTACCCAGCACATATGTGTTTTGCTTATCTTGTGTGAATAACTCTGGTTTTACTGACATTCATTTACCTCTCCCTCTCTTTAGGGAATCATATTAACAAAACATGTGAACATTCACATTCCATTCAATTAACAATAATTTAGTTAACTCTTTGCATGAAGAAAACATTACAAGAGAAAATTCTGCATTGGCATCTTTTAGTTGTGCCCCATTGCTACTGAACCCTCTAGTCCAGATCCACGGTATACTGGGCCACATGTTCTATGACCCATCTCAACCCAATGGAGTTAAAGCCAGGCAAGGTACAGTATGGGTAGGAGAGAGGGCCAAACACTTGCAGTCAGATTGAATAGTTTATAGAGCTGTCCATTCCTCCCACTTAGATCAAGTGTCCCTTTTATAAGTGTTCTCTCTCTTCCAAACTTGTTATTAATTATCCTGCTCTTCGTCTTTGAAATTCCCATCAGCAGCACCTACAGCAATAGCCTTTCACAATCCTCGGTCCTTAAGACATTGAGCCGGACAATAATTACTTCTTTTGTCTTCCCCTCCATCCAGAGGCCTTCGATTGATACTGGGCAAGGACACTCTAATACAATATAAAATTACCAACACTTACTGTATACTGTAAAATGTTTTTTAAAAACTGCAGCATTCCATAAAATATATATATAATTGCACCACAATTCTAATCCAGAAACTTTATCAGTTACATGGGGTGACATGACACTTTTCTACACTAGATATAATCTAGTTATTCCAGAAGAGGTGGCCTGGCATTCTTCACTGTGATGCTATGTGGCTTTAACGCTATACATAGTTGCATGTAGACAGCTGTGAAGGGGCTGAAATGTATCATGAACCATAAGGAAAACTGTAATGTAAAATGAAAATATATATTGAAGAATTTACATGTTTCTGGGTACAGTGCAAAAATTATCATTATAAGTGAGTAAGAAATAATAAATGGATAGCAACTTTACATTGAACAAAAATTAGATCATACACCAATGTTAATGTAATGATGGTAATAGCAGTGATGGTGATGATGAACAACCATGATGATGGCCATCCATACCAAATATTGTGCACAATCCAACCAATGTTGTGTTAATGAATCTCAAAGGGAGTAAGTACTGGATAATAATTACTTACTTCTCTATTATAAATAATTATTTCCACTGCTTGGATTAAGTCACCGCAACAGCTAATTATTATTATTGTTATGTATAGTCTGCGTAGTCTGCAAAGGAACAAGTAATAGGTTTATTCCATGCTGAAAGGAGAAAACACAACATTTCGGTTGTGAAGCCTTCTTCAGGTGTAAGAAAGACAGGGCAGACAGCAAAGATTAAATAGCACAGAAGAACAAAAGCTGGGAGAGGGGAGGAGGCAGGAGGGGCAGAAAGGCAGAGAGGCCACTCAGGAAGTGCAAAGTGGGGAAGGGTGAAGAAAGATGTCAAATCCTGCATGAGAATAGAAAAGATTACATGAAAATAAGTCGGTCATTGAGAGAAAGGGGATGGTGTGAACCTAGTTTCAGTTTTGTTTCTGTTGTTTTTCTGCTATGGGAGTTGAGAAACCCTTCTTTGAGAACAGAGACAGGGAGATCAGTGTGATCATGGCTGTCTGAGGTGAAATGAGAAACCATGGGCTAGAAGAAATCTTTCATCTTCACAGTCCTTACATGTTCTCTGAAGCAGTCTTCTAGTCTCCTTCCGATTTCCCCAACATAGATAGCTGAGCATTTTATGCAGGAGATACAGTAAATGTGGTTGCTGGAGGAATAAGATGTCGTCTGGGTGATCCGGAATTGACCTGAGGGGCCCTGAATGAGCGTATTGTTAGTTATGTATTTGCAAGTGATGCAGTGAGTTCTGTTGCAGGGGAAGGTGCCTGGTGGGGATGATTGCCGAGTGCGGTCAAGGGAGCTGTGAACCAGAAGTTTATGTAGATTGGGTGGTCGGCGGTATGAGATGATTGGGTGGTTAGAAAAAAAGGTTACCGATAGAGGGATCGCCCTGTAAAATGGAGTAGTTGTTAATAATGGTCCTGGTTGATAGAAAGTGTGTTAGAGTGGTAGGGAAGCACCAAAGGAATGCGGTTGTGAGACTGGGAGTTCCTGGTCGAGTTGATGATCCGAGGACTATTTTTGGCCCAGGTGAGGGCCCTATCGATAACATGGGTGGGGTATCCTCTGTTGATCAGAAAAGGATACATTTTGAGGGCTTGGTTCTGGAAATCCATGTCGTCACTGCAGAGTCGACGTAGCCTGATGAACTGTGGAAAAGGGAGAGAGTTTTTGGTGTGAGTGGGAAGAAAAGAGCTGTAAAGGAGATAGCTGTGTGAATCTATGGGTTCGTAATAGACCGAGGATGAGAGTTGTGGATGGTTAAAAGATAAATTTATGTCTAGAACAAAGGGTGGTGGAAGATATGTTATCTGTATATTTGAAGGATGGGTGAGAGTTAGAGAATTGATGCAGGAAGTGCTCTAGCTGGTCATTAGAGCATGTAGCAGCACTGACGCAGTCATCGATATATCGCTTGTAGAGGTCAGGGACTTAGCCAGTTTAGGAAGCAAAGAAGCATTCTTCTACCCAGCCGACAAAAATACTGGCATTGCGAAGTCCCATCCTGATGCTCATGGCAACTCTACTAACCTGCTGATAAAAAAGGTTATTAAATGAGAAGGCATTGAGTGTGAGAACCAATTCCGCAAGATGCACTAGAGTGTGGGTGGGTGGATCAAGGACTTTATCTAGCATGTGCTTGGGGATTGTACGACCATCTTTATAGACAACATTGATATGAGTTCTCATCATTACTTAGCATTTTATTTTCTAAAAACGCATAATTTTATTTGTTTCATGTATGTACTTAATGTACGTTTCAAGACTAAATGCCACATAATTGTGCTTAGCACGCTACATTAGAAGCACTAGCATGTGTAGTGTTTTTGAGTGCATTCCTTTGTTACTTATCATAACTTTCTTTACTTTGTTCCTCAGCTGAAATCAGTCAACCCTAGCAATGAAAGCTTGGTATACTCTCCGTCACAGGCTGGGAGTCAGTTGAGCTGGGAACTTGATGAAGCCGGTGAGATTTCTTTGGAAAACAGAGAGATGAGTACAGAGGAAAGTCCTGTAGTGGAAGAGACAACTGATAAAGCTTCAAAATCTGACAAGGATCTCCCCACTCCTACTTCTTTAAATGTACCCTGCACTTCAGGGTCACCTCAGATGTCTGAAGGAAAACTTGCAAATCGTAACAGTGGCATGTGGGACAGAGGCCTAATGGATGAAGAGAAATGCTTAAAAGATGAAGATAATCTCTCCTCTCCCGTGGCAGATAAATCACCTTCCTCTGGAATTCCCTGGGAGCTGTGTAATGAAATTAAAGACAAATCTGAAATTGACAAAGACTTTGAAAAAATAAGAAAAGAGGAGTCTACATCTGGGAATCTCCAGGAATCAGAATATACCTCAAAGCAAAGTGGCTTACAGGTTTCTAGAGGTTGCTCAGAAACCGATACCCAGCAGAATGATGGGGAATTAAATACTCCTCCTGAAGCCACGAAAGTGAGCAATTTAGATGTGTCCACAAGCACAAAAGTGTCTGAAAAGGAAATGGCATCACAGTCAGTTCCTGAGGTCTTTGAGAAAAAGAAGGACAAATGTCTGAGAGATCGTGGCCCAGACATCACTGTGACAAATTCAACATCTAGAGCAGATTCAGATGAAGAAAACAGAAGAGAAAACAAACCTTCACTGCCCAGGGTACAGTCAGCTGTAGCACTTTTTCAGTCCAAAGTTACAAAACCTGTAACTGAAGGGAAAGCTCAGCTACCTATCATCTCAACCAAACCTATCCCTGGTCTGAAAACAGCTAGTTATTTTTGTCGTAGCCCGGAAACTATCCCAAGTAAAATATATGCAGCACCAGTGACAGATGTCTCACAGAATGGAATATTAGTAACTTCAATCAAAACAATCAACCAAGACACAAAACAAGACGCAGGAGAGCGAGATGGTGTTGAGACACCATCACCTGCAAATGAAGAAGACTTACCACCTGTTAAAAAAGTGTCCGAGCTAAAGAAAAGGTTTGAAGCATAAACAGTTTTTCAGTTCATGAAGAAATTAAATAACATTCTTGCCATCCACAAAAAAGTGACTTATAATTGGCATAAATAAACAAATTTTCTTTCATTTGAATATAACATACTGTTATCTTTCTTTACAGTGATTATGTTCTACAGTGTCCTGTACATTCCAAGCACGTGGAGTGTAAAATTGCAACGTTCATGGACTAGGATGACTGCTTTTACTTCACATAACGGTGCTGGATGACTATAGTTCTTTAGCACATACAAGAAAATAAATGTCAATGCCTTCTCTTCCAACAACCTCTGAGCATTTTGTTTGACAAAATGAGCCTAATAATGCAACAACAAATATTATGGAATAGCCAAGCTCAAAAGAAGGTACTGTAACAAGATAAATGGTAATCCTGTAAGCAGAACAATTTCTTCTAATATATTACAAAAGAACCATATTTTGCATATTTTGATTATCTGATGAACCTTCAGATGTGCATTTTGGCAGAATTCACTGCTGGTAGCCATATATCATTCAACTAGAGCCCGGTGTCATTGTATGGCAAGTTAGCTATTGGTTCATTTTTTATACCACTTTTAAGTGAAAACAACACACCAATTATCTGTTATGTTTAATATACTTTCACCAATCCTTGAGGGTTTTTTATGTGTTACTTAGCATTATTTTGTTCTTGTTCTTGATTCCAGGACAATGGAAAGACAAACAAGTTTGCTATCCATACTCTTTATGCCTAACAAAGCATTGGATTTGTAGTTTTCCAGGCATCATGCAATGTGCTAAGTTAATGCTGTAGACTTCAAAGTCTAATTAAGCTTAGGTGGTCTTCATCATTTACAGTATATGTTCTAAGTTGTTTCTCAATTGTCAATTCTGTTAGTCAGATAATGTGTTATATATTTTTGCTGCGCAATGCACATATTCTTTCTTCTTCCTCTTGTCATTATGATCTATTAATGTTGCACAATCTCCCGTAAATAAGAGGCACTTCTAAATTCATGAAAGTTTGTGATCTACTGTAAAAGCTTGTGGAATGTTTTTGTGCAATGAAGTCACGTTTAATATTGTAAAGTAGCTATCTTACACTGAAAGACAATATATTACCTTTGTAAAGAGAAGCTGCACAGTAAGAACTGCATTTCTGCAAATCCTATAAACATCTGAAAGCATATTTAAATGAAAACATTCATATTATCACTTCTCACAAATACAGTCTGTAATCATTGAAACCACTACTTTGTACCAAAATAAAATTCGGCGTGTGAGAAAAATGGCATTAGTGATTTAGAAAACCTTCCTAACCCAGCTGTGAACATTTAGAGTTTTGCACCTAATCCCATGTCTTCTTGAGAGTGTTTCATTTACATAAGAACATGGCAACCTAGGGGCAGCACAGTGGCACAGTGGTTAGCATTGCTGGCTCACAATACTGGGGACATTCCATACCTGGGTTACCATCTATGTCTGGTTTGTATGTTCTCTCTGTGTTTGCATGGGTTTCCTCTGGGTGCTCCAGTTTCCTCCCACAGTCCAAAGATATACTGGTAGGTTAATTGGCATCTGGGAAAATTGGCCCTAGGTGAGAATATTTACATATCTGTGTTTGTATCTGTGTCTGACCCACAATGGACTTGCATCCCTGGTTGCAGTTCCCTCGTGACCATGAGTTGGAAGAACTGGTTAGAAAATAGATGGAAGGATAGCAACATGTTAATAGTAAATTCTCTTCCTGTCCATAAAAGAGTGGAGTAAAATCACTTCTGAAAGTTTACCTTGTCAACAATGGCTGAAGTCCATTTAGCTAACAAAGTAATGTTAAAAATGAAATACTGGTAAAACTGAAATGTTTATGTTCCGTTAAAACATTCTTTAATGCTCCCTGTGCTTTTGGTATTCTAAACAATTCACTTCCAAGTATTAAAGTGAATAGGATGCTTTGTAGACTGCTGTAAGTCTATTTCGTATAGAAGTAAAACGTTTCACTGTGTAATTCTTTTGGGAAGTGAGAGTTTGGAGTATTACTTTATATGCTTGTGTCGTAGTACCTTATTTGTAAGTCACTGCATTACTCCTATTCTATTAACAACTGCTGAAAGCTAAAAATGCTGCAGAAAGTTTGTACATACTAGGTAACATATTGTATGTTAAGGATCATTGTCTGTCATTGGCTTTATTATTTAGCTTTCACATGTGGCCAGGCTGAAACTATTTAATTTGGTAACCATTTGATTTGCTTGAGAATTAAAATTGAAAAATGTTCTCTCAGAAATATCATACTATGGAATTAAATTTTTAATTAATGAAAAGTATTTTTACAATTGCATGTCTAAGTTTCACATGCACAATTCATTCTTGAAAACAGTATAAATACATACATTTTAAATGCAGTGGAGGTAATAATTTTAACTGAAACATAAAAATTGAATTGCATTAACTTCTGTTTAAAGTGCTACACAAGCAAAATACATACAGTATATAATGAACAGGTTTTGTACCTTTTGAAATTTGTAATTTGCCACACACAAAATACACTTTTGAAAATACACAGTTGAAAAATTAACTTTTAAAATGATTTATAGGTAGCTAAGGTCCCCTTTTCAGGCCATTAAGGCCCATGGGGGAATTGGGAGCAAGGGCAACCATTTTTCTCAACCATCCAACACTGGAAGTGGAGGTGATGTGGTCAGCAAAACAACTCCGGACCACCTATTACCTCTGGAAGGATTAACACATTTGAAAAGCAGGCTGAGTGGACCTGGGAGCCATCTGGAAGGAATCAGGGCAAACTGTATCACTTGCCCCCACCTGGGATTGCACCCGGGACCTTCTGGTCAGGAGCTAGACACCCTTGCCTTCTGAGGCACCACGGCTCCAAAATAATTTATTCAACTATTTTAATAATTTATTGACTTTCACTGCTGATTGTTTGTTTAGTCTGACCAGAGAATGGAGAGGTTTTCCACTTACAATGGTAACTGTCAGCTAATTAGCTTTTTATTTTCACTTGTGAATTTAGTTTTAAGCTACCTCAAATAATGTAGTTCATTCAGTGTGTGTTTATAATAATTAATAATAATCCCTTACACTTGCAGCACTTTTATGGACACTCCACTCAAAGCACTTTACAGTCAATGGAGACTCCTTTCCACCACAAATGTGAAGCACCCACCTGGATGATGCAACGACAGCTAAAGTGCACCAGTATGCTCAGCACATTATATAATAAAAACATATATTTTAAGTAGCACCTTTAAAAGTAGTTTATTTAAGTGCTTTACAGTTAGAAGAAAAAACTTTAGAAGAAAAGGAGGATAAAATTATCACAATTAAAAAAAAGGAATTAGAATGCAGTAGAGAATGCAAGAGGCAGACACAGACAGTAATTAAAATTTCTCAAGGACGAAGGTATTGAGTCTGGATTTGAAAGTGTTCAGGGAAGATTCCGAATTCTGGACATACTGAAATTTGTTCAGTGTGGATTTAGATACCCCAGCAAGTAGAGTAGTGCAATAATTCTACAAAAAATGAATGAGTTCCCCAGCTTTCAACTACAGAACGTAGTCTAGCAATATTTCTGAGATGAAAAAAATTTTTTTCCCAATATTTTATACATACGAGTCAAACATCAGGCCTGGATCAAATGTAACCCTTAAGTTCTTCAATTTAGATTAAAATTCAAGTAGTGCTATCCACAAATACTTGTTACTGCATTGGCTTTACATAGATGATGAGATGTGTGGACAAGCATGATGTCACGGACGTCCAAAGGGACTAACCGTGGGGAGCAGGAGAGCAGAAAAAGACCCATATGCGTAGTGGCGAGACGGGAAAAAGGCCCAGGCTCATTAGTGCAAAGAGTTCAGGAATGCCGTATAGAAACCTATGCCCTCAGGGAGCGGACGTGGGGCGCCCTGGTGCTAGGCGGGTCTCAGGACATCCAAATGTCAATGCTGAGCGAGGACAGAGTGCAAGACCCGAAAATATATAGCCCAAGGGAAAGAGAGGGACAGGAAGGAC